TCTCTGATATATATAACATGATATGTCCCAAGTCTCTATATAAGTTGCACTTTTTATCCTTATTATAGTTTTAAATTTGTTAGTCAAGCCGGTTCCCAATAAGTAGGAGGCTTTTTGAAAGAAGTAATTTAGGCCCTCTGAAATGGCCGATTTTGTTCTTTCCATTGAATATTTATTAACGAAGAGTATATAGTTTAAATTTATGTTTTCAAAACAATTCATTAAGATACATTTTCCCTTGATATTTCTGTGATGAGGAGGTAATATTAAATATTTTGGTTCATAATTTCGAGAAACAACCAGTGATTGTCTACGCTATATAGAAGCCGGGTGCCAGCTTTAATTGGCAACCTTGTTTTTAATCTACGTTCAACGGCATTCCTTTGCCAAATCGTCAAAGATCTAGAACCATATATAGGATTATTGGAACTTGGTTAGCAGCTGCTTATATATCTGAGCCGGGCAAGTCTGGCTAGCCCGGATGAATCGGGTCACGAAATGTTTTTTTATTAATTCAACTTTGAAATGTCGTTTTAGATATAGATCAAAATCGTTATAGGAGCTTTATCAAAAGAATCATACCGGTTAATCGGGTCAGCCAAGTTCCATAGGAACAACCCCTACGAGACGAGTTTTGAGATGCGAAAGAAAAACGAGTGTTCGTGCATAATTTATGCATGCGCTTATTAAGTCTTTTGCATATAATATAATCCAATTTTTATAATCAGCTTAACGCTAAGTACCAATTTATCATCTCTGCATCCAAACAATGTTATCTGTTTGATCTGTTTTAAAATCACTATTATAGGAAATGCGAAAATTGTGATACGCGCAGCGTACATGTGCCAACGATTTATTAGAAACGTTCTTCCCAGAGGTCGAAGAAGGACCATCTTTTGTTGATCGACTGTTTACTCCAGGAGAATTTTGCAGGCGGAAACTGGAGCGCCCGACTATATATAAGACAACTTCATATTGTACATCTACAAATCGGTTCTGGAATTTGCATAATTACATTCATCTGCCGCCCATTTTAACCCGAAGGAGAGCTAATAAAAAATTACCAAGAAATCTTAATAATTTTAAAAATCAGCGTGAAATTGGCCTCGAAGTACATATCTGACATACTCGTACATTATATTCTGACACGACTATACGGCCGCAAGGCAAGAGGCGATGGATACAAGCCAAGGCGGCCGAATCATGGTCTGCTTTTTTCATCGCATAATTTAAAAATAATATCTTTCATAAGCTACTTTATTTAGTACAGATAAATATTAGGGTTTTTCCTCTATAAAAACTTATTTCATATATACAGTTATATTTTGTAACTTATAACTAATAATTCCTGATAATGCCTTATAAAATAGATAAAATTTATACTATCTGTGATAGTGTGATCTATATTCATTATTCTAATGTTGCTATATTGTACAATGCCGCAACGTAATTCATGGGTGGTAAAATTGTATTCAGGCAGAAGGGGGACATTTTACGCAATATTATCAATAGCAATAATATAATTCAGTTTTGTAAGTCATATAATCTTTCACACAAATATATCTGTACTTCCTTTAAAAGCGGTTTCCTTTCAAAAATATTTGTCCAGCCCAATCACCTCTAATCAAACATTTCAATTTATTCTGCAAACAAAACAACAACTTTCTATAAGAATATTCCTTCCTGTATCGGCTGACGCGCAAAATGCAAATACACCGCAAGACCGCGACCGAACCGTGAGAAACCGCGCGGAAAAGGCGTCGCCTTGACATACACGTGTGATTTCCCATAGGACGCAAAATATTCCGAACTTTGAAGTGACGCATGCATGAAAAAAACAACAAAAAAAAATCATCCCCAATGCGCTATTTATTCTGTTCTTAATGTCAAGGTGAAGGTCGTGTAATACAAAAAGGATTTGAAAGAAGTTATAATCAGTGCAATGTGTTAAGGTTAACGTTTAATTAATTTTCTCATGTTTGTAATCAAAACGTGCAATTAATATGCACTATAGAATGTACCTATATATATACTGGATAGCTCTATCCATATATGCTCTCCCCAGAGGTCCACTCTACGAGGAAATGTGGGTTAAACTAACTTTATTGATACAGGATAGCTCATAGTCAGTTCTAAACTGTTCCCCCCACGTGACTCTGTTAGGGCGATCATTATGATCAGTCTAGTCTAGTGATTCTTCAAAAAACATATGTAAAATTCTCTTCGTCGAAGCAAAAAAAGAGTTCAATATATTTGTTGTTTTGAAATAAATGCTTTTCTCTAATTTATACTCTTTCAACATACACTAAGAGTAAATTAGACAAAAACATGTCCTTCAAAACAACAAGTTGTTTTCTTCAAGATAAAACCTAAATAATTATAGAATCATTCAGTTTTGGCCGGGGTAGCACAAACAGTTCTAAACTACTCCTCCAAGAGGTCAGAAACAGCTGTAACATTCCAGAGTCAAACTTCAACCATGCGGTCCACACTTCAACCATACGGTCCACGAGGTTAAAATTATAATCAGACAACTACATATTGCATTAAGGTAATTCCGCAAGTAATTATTCCCGAAATGAGAATGTACTGAAACTCCCCAGGCATGGAGTTTATGATATACTTAAAGTAAAATCACACAAAAAAGTCGGGGTCACCGAACTTGTAAGAAGATATGACAATCACATTATACCACCTTTACCCCCAATATGGCGCCATCTTGACGCTCATTACGAGTAACAGCAAAATCACCGCAACAGCCCGATATTTGTTGACGTTTTTAGCGCGGATTTTGCTTTAGTAAACCTATCTTGTAATTATTTTTGAAAAAATATTGTGTTTTGAGCAAAATGAAACTACTAACGTGTACAATTCTGATCCACAAATGTCTTTTCCACATTTCTTTACATATCTTTCTTTGAGAACATGCATTGATAAAGGATTTTTTTTTCAAGATCCAGAAATGATTTTTCTTGAAAATAAATTATCAGTTAAAAAACGGGGGTCACCGATCTTTTTAGTGAATTGTGGCATTAAAACGTGAAATACAAGTAAATAAATATACTACAGGCACAGGAAACCCTAGCTACACTTTTGTATGCCTTTTTTGAAAACATTGATTTTAACGTAATTCTTTGCACGAATGTAACCAAAGATGTTTTGAAGTAACATAAAATTGTCATAAAATGATATTTTTTAAATGGTACGTATAATGGATGAAATTATAAGTTTATATAAAGATGTGCGCAGTAAAAGTGCGCAATGCAAAACTGCGGAATTACCTTAATCAAAACCCTATGCAGGTGTAGAAGTGAAATGGTACAATTGCTAGCCATCCACCCCCATATACACGTACAAAATAAGTTGCGTGTCTGTATACGTGATTTAAAAAAAACGCCTACTAAAAAGCATATCTGCATGTGTGTGTGTTAAAAAATTAGGCTCACGTAGCTTCTGAAACTATAAAGTAATAAAGTAATTGAATTACTGTGTTCCAGGAAAAATTCGATAACGTTCAAAGTTGATTTAATTTATAAGAAAGCTTCGGGTTGATAGGGATACAACGACCTGAAAAATAAAAGGAGAACTTCGACGTTCCGAGCGAAGGCTGGGAAGTCAGTATATAGCGGGGGTCGAGAAAATTACACGAGCTTTGATTACATGAAAATGACCAATTATATACCAATACTGTTATTGTTAATTGTCAAGCCCAAGGGGAACTTTGAATTCTCACTGTACGTGATATACGCTGTGCGTTATACCGCCTACGTAAACCCAATGACAACGAAACTGTTCGTAAGTCTGTCGAAAAACAAAGGATATATAGACCAACTAAAGGCTGTCAACTTATTTTGAAGTCACCATAAAAAAATTGCGGTATAAGTTTTAAAATAAATGTTTTTAACGGAAAGTCAACGAGAATTTTGACTTATTACTTCAAATGGCAAACGCCAGGGGAAGAAAAAATTTACGTTACAAGGTAATATAAATGGAAAATCAACTTGCTATTTTAAGACTGTAATGTGCGATGATTCGTTTGCGATGATTCGTTTGAGAACGAGAAGATGAAGCGAAGAAATTGAGCAAAAATTCTGCCAACAAAGACAATGCCGTTTGCCGCCGGTTCCGGCAAACGTGAAGCTTAATCTCCCCAATATCGTAGTATCAGCATAGGTCTTGTTTTTACTTGTGAATTATGAATTACAATGGAAAGACAATAAATTTCAATAAACATTTTAATTCTCAAACGTTAATAATAATAGTTCATGAGGGAAACGAGAGGTAGCTACCAGAAAAAGGCAGAATTCATCAGTATTGATTATACTAAATTTTATAAATTTCCTGTGATACTAAAGACATAAAGATGTTTTCCTCTAAAAATACCGAATACAGACTCATATTGTGGTTAAAAAAGTTACCAGAATTGCAGAAATATCTGGAACAACCGCAGTGATGTGTCATGTCAGATCAGAGCATCATTGCAATATAAACAAGCCTAAAATAGCTACTGTGTTTCCATGACTCGTGCTACGTCAGCAAAGGAGGGCCTTTTCCTTGATGATGTTTAATTGGATTTCAGCTTAAGCCAATTACAACGGCAAAGATAAACAGACGGAAGGGAAATAAACAAACATTGTTCTCAAATTGTTTCTATGTTTGTACATATCGTGAATCGCGATAATGATCGTCTTATGGTCATAAATATGACGCGGCAAGTCACCATTTGCTAGCGACACCATGATGCATCATCATATGCTACAAACACTACCAGCACATGTTCATTTGGAATGTTCCATCGGTTCAACCCATACAGCGCAGTTAATTTGCGGAGAATTTTAATTTAATATCGCAAGCGTTTGTTAATGGCGTGTATACCACGCTCTCTTTGTTTCCTGTGGTCAATAAAAATGACATATCAACCCCTAACTGTCATCACCGATTCAAAAGTAATACATAGCTCACGCTTTGTATAAAAGGCTCGTTCATCTGCCCTTCAAACAGTGCAGGCTTTGCTTCGAGCTTAAAGAAGACTGAAAAAGCAAAAAGTGTTTGAGGTCGCAGTTGATTCAATTTCAAAGGGAGAAAAAAGTATGTTGACTTAGGTTTGAATTTTGTATAGTTCAATATTGTTTTCATTTATTCTCAGTGTTTTAAAAGTTTAAGTATAAAGGCTATATATATACTTATTTAGTATTATATAGACATGCAGTACTATATAATGGTTGATATTCATATTTCGAATCTTTTTATGTTTGATGGTTTCTTATTTTAGTTTTATCACATATATTTCTCAAATATTATATTAATTAATTATTCATAAGCAAAACACAACTTACTGTTGTCTTGGCATCACCGCAATAAATTCAACTCTGGCGCAGAATTTTCAATATAAATATACGACTCGCTCCTTTCAGGGTCGTTTATATTACAGTATTTTTAAAAAATCTCAATGTATAATTAAAAATTTCGGCCTAGTCTTTCTTTCTTTAACGAACTTTTTGGAGTTTAAATCACTAAAATAAACTCCCTTTTCATGGAGTGTTCCTTTTATGACTTTGCATTTATCTCGTGCCCACATGCAAAGCTAGTATTTAAGTACTATATAATTTGATTCAATTTATGGCTTTGGTAGCTTTCTATACTGTATATGTATATCAGAGCAAACGCCTTCGACCTCAAAGGTCCGGACTGAAGAATTTCATTTGAAAAGAATCAGTCAACATTTGAAAAGAATCAGTCGGTCAACCCTGTACCAAACGTCGTGGGTTTTCGCCGGGTACTCCGGTTTCCTCCCCCACAAGGAATGTTGACAGGGTGGGTTGGGATCAGCCCCTACCTGACACATCCACCGTAGCTGTAATACTCTGTGATCAGACATGAGTCATGAGATCGTTGTCGGAGGTACCCTACAGAAAGCATTCGACTCGATCGGTTTGAGCAGCATCCTTTGCAAATCATCTAATAGCTATCAGCTAATTCTTTCAATTTTGAACTAAATTAATAGTATTTTACGTACGTGTACTGTAATGGTAAACTATAGTATATGTTTTTGCGTGTATATATATACCGCCACGCTGACTTGGTACGTTCACGTTCATTAATTAAATATACGGCTTGACTCAATTCTTTAGATGAATTCAAGAAATGGACTCGTCTTTTTACTGTTATGTTTGGCGACGTGGACATTGTGTGCAGAGGCAGTAACGTCGGTTCTTGGTTCAGCGATAAGACGAAGAACTGCACCTAAACTGACTACCAGAAGACCGCCAACAGTTCCAACAGTACCAAATGCGATCACGCAAATGCTCATAAATAACGTACAGCCGGCTACGAAACACATGAATGATATTATGGACATCATTAATCCACAAGGTACAGTCATACAGTTTTGCAAATGCACAAAAGTTTGAAATAGTTTATTTATTTCAGTTTTTGCGAATATCACCACCTTCAATCAATCAATCGTGTTTTAATCATCATAGGTTAAAAGTTACATATCCTGTGTTTTAAAATAATATTTTTTTACTCAAACTATACATCATATAGCTAAAATATTCCTCTACTATAAAACCTATTTGATTTATTTGTAATATTGGTAGAGAAAAACGTTGAAATGATTTGAATGACTCGAATACATAATTTTCACTTCGTCTTCGGAGAATGAACTTTGCATTGGATTGCGAGGGCGGATTGCAATCAAAAAATAATTTACACCCCACTAAGGTTCCCTAAAATGGTTAACATGCATGCGTATATTACATAAAAATAATTTTGTTTACAGACTGATACATTTTTACGAAAATATTTGCATCCTCGATTCTTTAGTGCCGATCTGGCGTCAACAACTTCCCACTCATGCAGAGATAATAAAATATATTTTTTATTGTGCTGATAAGGCTATATGACCTATATGTCATGTTTGTATACATGCATATCTATTGTGTGGTTGAATCACAATGCATGGCATTTAAACTAGGTACAAAATTTCTGAGCGAAAACATGTTTAACTTAGTACAGTGAGGTATAGTACAGTGATTACAGAAAATGTAAATTCACCATGATTGTCATTGCTGACCATGGCGAAAAAGAATTGTGCTATTTTTCGAAGCCTATATTTGCATGTACTTTATAAGGAAGGCATATGCGACAAACATGGCTGTATATAGAATACTGGAGAAAGACAATCAAACGTGCTTGGGGTACTTTTCACATCTGGGAAAATGAGGGATTATTCTTATTGGATCTCTTGGGAGAGCAGCATTATAGAGCTATCTGGTATATTAAAATAAAGTCAGTTCAGTTTGCCAGGTTGCGAATATCTGTTTCGTATTTAATTCGTGTTTGATAATGATATTGCTTAGTATATGCACTTTTTAAAGCCTAATTAGCATAAATCGCGTGCCTTTTTATTTACTAACCCTTTTATGTCGCAAACGATTGAAAATCTTTAGTAATTGAAAGACCTTTTATTGCATGGCGCACTTGATTAAACTCTAATTATTAATCAAGCTAATGAAAAAGAAGGATGGCATTTCGCATGTTGTTTTTGTACAGTCTAAAAATGACGCAAAATATTCTATAAATTTCACGTGGAATTCTAGGATGGCGGATGAGCTGTCAATAAATGGATTCATGCAATTTGTTTTTCAGTTATCTGCCGGTCGACAGGTTTAATTAAGATTGAATATCTAAACAGTCTGTTTACAATTCCCTGTAGCTAATACTTTGGGAGATTTTTAACGATATGAAGAAACCAATTATTTATATGCATGTTAAAGATAAAAGAACGTATACTAAGCAACGTTAAAAACATCTTCTGGCACCGTGAACCTGAAATTATGGTTGAAAATGCTCATAATTATTATAGTTTTGCACAAAATTACATTTACCAGTATATAAAAGCTCATACCACACGGAACATTGAACTATATTTATATACGCATTATTTTTATTGGCAAATTTATTTACTGCTATTTTAAGTGTCTCAAATGGCAGTTTAAACGGGTATAGCTAATTAGCTATTTCCCAAAGTCCTGGGTCTGGTCGCGTAAATCCCATGTTGGAGGGACAGGAAATATGGTTTAAATTAAAAGTTTAATGTAACTTAAGTTAAGGAGATATTTCATTTTCGATCGTCTAAAAAGTTGATATTTGATATAGTAGATACTTCTACTCTTTCACATATTTGACGCCTGTCACCATATATTTTGTTCCTCCAAACGATCCCAGAATGCACTGTGATCTCTTTTGGAAAAAGGCTAATTGTATAAAGTAGAAAACAAAGCTAAACCAAGGATAAATTTGAGAGGTATACGCCAAAAAGATTTAAGGTTTTGAACGTACGCTGCCCCTATAATCGCAAATACACGATGTGGGAAAACTTGCCTCGTAATCATTTTGTTTACCAGTATTTACTTCCTATATACATATGTCATGAGCCTGTTACTCATCGCAAATACGCCAAATTTGCTTTTTAATCATTTTTAAAACTATTTCGATTATTTACTTCCTACAGTTCCTATATGAATCTACATGCATGTTATTCATTATTTCCTTAAACCTGATTTGCATTATTTTTCAAAGTTTCTGTGATCACAATGGGTTTTTTTGTGACAAGCAATGTTTCAGGCAACTGACTCAGTCATGTTAAACACTGATACTTACAAATCCTTCAAAACTTTACCTATGCCAAATTCCTGCTGTGATCACAGAAAACATTGATAGTGTAAACTCACTATATCTATAATCTAAAGTATACATGTCGGACATCCCACAATAATCATAGACAAGTTAATCAAGACATTATTATCCTAACTATCTCAATACGGAATAAAACGTTTGAATGGGAACACATTTCTGTGGGCGGTTGATAATAAAAGTTCATATGACCTAGGACATTCCTCGAGCAACAAAATGATCTATTTATACACGCGCGCTGTATGAGATCATGACCAACGTCAAAGTAGCAAACTAGCAAACAATACTTTCTTAGTTAACCTTCAACGTTTGTTGTCGTAAACAAAGTTGATGGGTTTCGCATCTGTCAACATGACAAACGCCGCGTTTTTGCATGGGGAGAAACCTTGACTTTCCACTAACTCTTTGTTAATGAATAACTCTGTCAGTTCTGAACTGTTTTCCTTTTACGTGTACATTGGACTTTATTTAGATTTGACAGTTTCATCAGTTTCAAACTGTTCTCCCTAGAGGTCTATAGAGGCCATGCATTTCTTACTAATCCAGTTACTATACAAGGGGAAACCGAAACTAAGTGAGGATCATTTCTGATTAATGCAGTGTTACAACAGGAGGAAACCTAAACTAAACTAACTTTATTTATACTGGATAGCTCTGTCAGTTCTATAAACTGTTCTTCCCAGAGGTCGATGCTGGAGGGATCTTATTCATCCAGTGTTACTATAGAAGAGGAATTAGGAAACCTAAACTAAACTAACTTTACTTATACAGAATAGTTATATCAGTTCTAAACTGTTCTTCCTTGAGGTCCAGTAAGGAGTTAGTCCTGTAGTGTTACTACTGGAGAAAACTTAAACTAACTTTATTTATACTGGATAGCTCTGTCAGTTCTAAACTGTTCTTCCTATAGAGGTCCATGCAGTAAGTATCATCTCTTATTGATCCAGTGTTACTACAGGAGGAAACCTAAACTAAACTAAACTAACTTCACTTATACAGGATAGCTCTATCAGTTGCGAACTGTTCTCTCTACAGTAGAGGTCCAAACATTTGTACTAATAGTCATTTTTCATTATGAAGGAAATGGCAGACGCAGACGAGCAATAAGGTTATTATGGAGAAAGATAAAGTTATAAGAAAATCAGATGAACTTAGGCTTGACGGAAAACTGAAGAAAAGTGGAAGATGCGAAAAAAAGGGAAGATTTTCAGGACCAACATCCACAGACCGCAATAGCATGGCTGGAGTTACACCTCGGCATAAAAAAACAAAAGAACATCGAAAGCAAACAGTCGAAAAAGAAACTTATCTTAAATTAAATGTTCTTAAATATATTTTTCAAAGGATGTAAAAAGTTCATATTGTATAAGAATATTTATTTTTATTATATATAAAATATTTATATTTGTTAATAAATATTGTGAGCAATAATAAATTTTAAAGTAAAATTACCGTTTTCTCGTTTTGCGATGGTAAAGCATGCGCGTTTCGTTTATTGAAGGAATTCCATTCCTGCAATATGCACGACTGTTTGAATACAATTTTTCCTCAGTTTTATGTCAAAGAGTGCTTCCAATTTGACTCCACCAAGTCTAGTTTATTTTAGGTTTCCTCCTGTAGTAACACTGGATCAATAAGAGATGATCCTTACTGGACCTCTAGGAAGAACTGTTTAGAACTGACAAAGCTATCCAGTATCAATAAAGTTAGTTCAGTTTAGGATTCCTCCAGTAGTAACACTGGATCAATAAGAGATGATCCTTACTCGGGACCTCTAGGAAGAACAGTTTAGAACTGATAGAGCTGCCCATTATAAGTAAAGTTAGTTCAGTTTAGGTTTCTTCCTGTAGTAACACTGGATCAATAAGAGATGATCCTTACTGGACCTCTAGGAAGAACAGTTTAGAACTGATAAAGTTATCCATGCAGTATCAATAAAGTTAGTATAGTTTAGGTTTCCTCCAGTAGTAACACTGGATCAATAAGAGATGATCTTTACAGGATCTCTAGGAAGAACAGTTTAGAACTGATATAGCCATCCAGTATAAATAAAGTTAGTCTATTTTAGGTTTCCTCCTGTAGCAACGCTGGATCAATAAGAGATGAATATTACTGGACCTCTAGGAAGAGCAGTTTAGAAATAGCACTATCCAGTGTAAATAAAGTTAATTCAGTCTAAGTTTCCTTCTGTATAGTAACACCGGATAAGAGATACACCTACTTCACATCTAGGGAGATAAGTTCAGAACTGATAGAGCCATTCAGCATAAATAAAGTTACCACTATAAAGAATAACCCTTACCGGGGACCATCTGGGAAAACAGTTTAAAAACAGAACTGATAGAGCTATATTCGGAATAAAGATGGTACAAACCAGCGCAGTACATAACGTTGCGACGTATTTATTGAACTATTTACAAATATCAAGTTCTAAATTATCGACACATGCAAGGTTTTAAAAAGTCCAAAATGTTCGTATGCGTCTTTCTATGATAACACCATGACCCCAAGCCTGCAGAGAACTGTCTTGCTCTGATTATAATCACAGATACATCAAGTATCCAGCGAATTGTCACCGTAGGGAATTGACAGCAATGAGCTCAAATATATCAGTGGAGTGATATTATGGACTGAAGTTCGGTATCATTCCAGTTATACATTGAGCGCATTCGACATTAATCACTGACCTCAAAAATAGACTGGACAACGCAATCCACTATGACACTTGTACTATGTGGGACAAAATATTGGGGGAAGGGGTTCTATTTCTTTTCAAAACTTTTCTTTTTAACCGAATAATTTTGATATTAAAGCAGTCCATTCCTAAAATACATTAGAAAGCTTATAAGCATTTGGTCCTGTTTAATTTTTAGATACTGAATCCAGTCTTATTTCTAGATCAATGATGTTTATCAGATATTCCAGTCTCAAGAGTGCTAATCACATAGGGGAAGGGGTTAATTAATTTAACATTTATTAAACATAATCTAAATTCTCCACAGATCAGAATGAGTCGAGCAGGCCGGATATAAATAATCGACGGAAGACGACTTTTCTCTAGTCTGTTCTCTGGGGGATAGGCAGAGTTGGCAGTGATAGAGCAGGGTAGTTAGGGTAACGTCGGACCATTACGAGCTGCCACCGGGATTTTCTCTGACGATGCAGTTTCGGGGCTAGAAATGAAAATCAAGCGTTTTAATGTAAAAAATACAATCCATATACAGTTTGGCCAGTAATAGATCTATCCTATACAATGTTTCTCGATGAAAACTCTCAACTGACGGTCAAAAATCAAAGGAACGTTGTACTGTATTTATGTAATTGAACAATTATTGATTTGCGCATTCAAAACTTACCTGCGAACTTCTTTGTACCGTTTGAAAAATGTCAGATCAAAGAAGACATCAAAATTTCATAAAAAAGATGCAAAAGCGGACCACCGAAGGACATAAGTCAAATCTTAAACGCTCATTGCTCAGAATATTACAGATTTTATCTTAGAAGAACACCGGCTATTAAAATTGCAAATGTTCATGCTAAATTTATTGCTAAATTTATATGACTGACGTGTATTTACTGTATATACAGCTCAGTGAATGAGGCCCGGCTTAGACTACGAGATTGATATTGTTTGGTTAGCCGCACCCAATTTTGTCGGGATTTTTCGGTGGGAACAAAATTTGACGTTTTTCTTTCGCATCAGGTACCATTGAGAAACCCTTCTAATACTGACATATGACCAATTTAATTGAATTACATAAAGTATCCTACCTTTCTGTGGGGACATCTGGTTTTTGTACCTCACCATCACCCTCCTCAGCGTTCGCATCTTTATCCTCAATGTTCGCATCTTTATCCTCAGTGTTCACATCTGTACCCGTATCTTTCACCTCATTTGTCCCCTCGCATACTGGTGTAGCAGGGTCACTGGCAGCCTAAAGAAGCAAAACGATATGGTCTTATCTCTGAGCCTTAATTCGCCTTGAGAAAGATGGCGGCATGTTGATCTTAAACTGTTCTTTGCGAAACTAAATCGGCTGCGATAACATTTAAGAAATGCTAAGACATGTCACATCAATAGACCTTTCCCCTTTTGAGTGAAATTTTGATCTAGACAAAAATTTCATCACAGCTTGAAATAGGGTAGATGCTCCAAATACAGTAAAATTAAAAAATATAGCGTAGCGAAATAGCGAAATAGTTCGCCACATTTTTTAAGCAGTAGCTGTAGTCAGTAGCGAACTACCTTCGTTTAAAAGTAGCCGTAGTTGTAGCTGACTACATATTTTTGAAGTAGCTGTAGTTATAACAAACTACAAAAATTTTGTAGTCAACCCACCCTTGTTAACAACCGACCCCAGGTCATTGTATTCTTTATTCACATAAACTTACATCATCGTCACATTTCGTAGCTTCCGATTTGTTTCCTTCAGTTTCGCTCGACACTGTAGTTTTATCTTCGCTGCCCGCATCTTGTGTTTCCTCGTTGTCCAATCTTAAAACAAAACGTTATAAGGTGATATCAGCCAATCATGACCGGATTTTGAGGAGAGCACCTCCTCTGAGAATTTTTGCACCTCCCCTGAAAAGTCATGCACCTCCCCTTGGGAAAGTTTCAATGATAGATCAAAGTGAAAATTTGACTTTTTTCGGGTTGCTTAGGGTCTACAAGTTTTTTTCTGTAAAATTGAAACAGTGATAGCCATTGATCTCTGTGTCAAGTGCCCTTTTAATGCAATGTTTTGAAAGAGAATTTGTAGTATTATTGCAATGAAGGGCAAAGGGGGTCTCGGTGTCAAGTGCCCTTTTAATGCAATGTTTTGAAAGAGAATTTGTAGTATTATTGTAATGAAGGGCAAAGGGGGGTCGTGAGCTAGACCGCTGCACCTCCCCTAAATTTGCTTCCATCTCCCCAACTATTTCCACCAAAATCCGGCCTTGAATTGCCAGTATAAGGTGTATAGGTGAATAAAATTTGGTGGATCTACACTGGATAGAACTAATTGTAGAAAGCTTTGTGTTCATTCTTATTACCTCGACGTTTCTTCAGAGTCTATAATATCAACATCCTCCTCCTGAGGTGCAAGTGGAACAATTCTTTCGGTGTCTTCACTCGACGTCGCCGCAATGTCATGCGACTCTGACGAACTCTCTCTCAGTGCTTCGTCTTTATCGTGTTTTTCTGAGGCACTTTCTGTCGTTTCTTCGCAAGCTTTTGTTTCTGCTTCATTCCTTAAAAAATACAATTTTACGTCAAATCATCATTCAGATTTACACTAGAGACGGGTAATCCTAGACAAAGTACTTACTTCGTTAATTCCTCCGGCATTTCAGCTTCTTCAGAACCAACAACTATGAATAAAGAAGGAATTCGCAAGAAAATATCTTAAGGATTGAAGTGCCATCTAGGGAAGTCTATGGATATCTAGGGAAGGCTATGGATGTCTAGGGAAGGCTATGGATGTCTAAGCAAGACTAAGGATGTCTAAGGAAGTTTAGGGAAGGCTATATAGGAATGACCAAAGAAGGTTAAGGATTCAAAATCTTAAGTCTATACATACTGTAGGCTGATCCAGCAGTTGTCAAGGGCAGTGATGACGCTTCTGTGTCCATAGCAACCGGGGAAATGCAACGTTGCTGACGAGATGGATTTTGACTGAAAAAAAATTTCATTATAAGCATCTCAAGTAATAAATTTCTACAATAAGTCAGAAAGGTTACCAGTGATAATGGCCGAATTCTGACTTCATTTTAAAAACACAACAGATACTCAATCCAGTGTTATTTCGAGTTCAATGCCATACCTGGTTGTTTCACCAATGCTGGCAATATCGTCAAACTTTGCCCAGCCACTATTCTCTTCCTCGTCCCCAGTCTTACTCGGTTCACTCGTCCATCCAACACTAGCGGGATTTGCGCCTTGAACAACGTCCATTGAGACCGGGTCTGAATCAAAGTTTGCCGTCCAAGCTACAATGAGAGAATATTCCTATCAACATATAACCCTTAAGCACACTATCAGTGTGATTCTGTGATCACAGTAGGAACCTTGCACAGGTGAATTTTAAGTTTTGAAGGATTTGTAAGAAATGTTTGAAGGAACTGACTTAATGTTAAACAGTAACCACGGAGCCAGTTTCCTGAAACATTTCTCATGAGCTCACTGGTTGCAGTCAAGTGCAATTAGCCATTCCAAAGTTGATGAGAGGACTGGGGACGATTGTTAAAAAGTGCCCAAATTAAGAAATAAACCAAATCACTAAAAAGACCATCTCAAAATTAGTAAGTATACAAAGTTTGAAGGCGTTTACATGAATACCCTTCGAATAATAAGCTTTCGAAAATTGTGAAATTACAAAAAACTACAATACATTTCGTAGTAAATATCACGATTTTCGATAGCTTATTATTCGAAGGATATTCGTGTGAACGTCTTCAAACTTTGTATACTTAATAATCTTGAGGTGGTCTTTTTAGTGATTTGGTTAATTTCTTAATTTGGGCACTTTTTAACACTCGTCCCCAGTTCACTCATCAACTTCGGAATGGCTAATTACTAGGGATGTTCGGTATGAGAAATTTCCGGTATCGGTATACCGAAAAAATTATACCGATATTATCGGTATACCGGTTTTCCTCTGATAATTATAAAGGAAAATTCTTTAATGGAAGTTTGAAGGAAATTTTGAGTAATTCTAAAAGGGAAAACGATAATTTCGAAGCTGTTTCGAACATGTTTCGAACGACATGCACGTACTCAGTATAAAATCTCAGTGAAGTGGAAATTCTAAATCATTGCAGTAGAAAGTTCTTTGAATTGCCATTCAGTAGTAAAATAAAGGTTATGGTTTCGCCATATAGTTGGTAAATTTAACACGGTATACCGAAAAATTCCGGTATTTCCGAAATTTCGGTGTATCGGTATGGTTGAATATCCGGTATCGATATACCGATATTGATTTAATACCGATATTTTCGGTATATCGGTATACCGAACAGTCCTACTAATTACCGTCGTTGCTGTCAACATCCATGTTGTAATTATCGTCTTTCTCTTTGTCAGGACACGGAGACGATGTTCTTATCGTCGCAAAATCTTTGATATCATCAGAACTTTCATCATGCGATGGTTGATTTAATTTCTCATCTCGTCCTTGAACTTCCTCATCTTCGCTCCCACTGCTTTCTGATCCGTCCGATGGAGTACTAAAATAGCCAATGGCAATGTACAAAGGTAAACAATCCACGGGTCGGTTGCTCAAAGCTGGGTTAACGCTAGATTTGCTCCAAGTCTCTCTTTCATTGTCATAGAGTATCGATCCACTATAGTGTACATTACATGACGTCGTACGGAGGGGCGGAGCGAAAAAGAGAGACTTGTCAACTTCGGAAAATCTCGGTTCAAAACTGAACCGAAAATGCAAGACTTGCTTTAATTGTTTTGCTTCAATTTCTTTCTGTATTACTTACTATAATGGAACTCATGTTATTTACACTGTGCTAGATCAATACATATAAACACTGACAGAAAACAAAGCAAGTCTTGCATTTTCGGTTCAGTTTTGAACCGAAGTTCACAAGTCTCTCTTTCTCCCTCCGCCTCTCCGTGCTACGTCATGTAATGTACACTATAGTGGATCGATACTATATGACAATGAAAGAGAGTCTAGGTTAACGCTAACCCTGGGTTAAATTTTAATCTGCTGCTTTAGTTTATGTATTTCTGCACGTCTGTTTATTTCAAAACTTCAGAGAAAAAACTCTTACGGATTCAGACAAGATCTCTGAAGAAATATTTTCAAATTTATAAACGAGCTCTTGGGAAGTTTGCTTTGAATCTTAAGTTAACCCAGGGTTAAGCTACTGTAATCCAGCTTTGAACCGGCCCCAGGCCTGCAAATAACTATTTTGCTTGGAAGACTGACTGCGTCGAATTTTTTTGCCGTGTTATATATTTTGGTATCAAATCTTACCTCACTATAAATATTTTCAAGTTATACACAAATAACACAATACCTTCTTAGTTCCGCATTTGGCGAGAACGTTATTTCTTTTGTATTCCATACATCCTACACGTCAGAATAAATGTATATTTAGGCATGGAACACTTGCTAATCTGTCCAACAGAACAGAACACAACCAAAACAAAACATGTCAAATGAAAATAAAACAAAAGTAAAACAAAAACAGGAAGCACTCTATGGTTTACAGAACAGGCTGAATAAGCATAAGAGCGAATCGAGTCAGGTACAGGTACTATACAGTAGTCGTGAAAATAGGAAACAGAAAAATTACATAATGGACATGAAAACGTTATCTGATTATCCCACCTCCTCATCGCTGTCGTGATCATCAAAAGGGCGAATTCTTTTGTTACACGCTTCCTCAAACATCGAAGAGTTGTGCTGCAGAACAGAATATAAAAACATATCTAATAAGTGATTGTGATCGAGGGCAGTTGGTGGCATGTGTATAGAGTTATCCTTTAGGCCACATAAAATAAATTCCTTGATTCTCATCACCGCCTGACTGTATTTTAAGAGCCGCGTGAAAATGTTTTATATTTTGTTATACAATATAAATGTACCGCCCGACAAAATATTTCAAGACAGTTAAGTTTTTTATATTTTATATTGGGTTTTTAGTGCCATTTTAAACTGCCAATTTCAAACAAATAGAACCTTGAAAGAAATTTCATTGCATTTTAAAGGAACTTCGCATTCAGTTCAAGGGTTCAGTCATTGTTCGTGGAGAAATATGTTTACTTCGGTTTGTACACTTCACTTTGGAAATCACAGAAATATTACATGTTAGGAATTATTTTTTTATTTATTGATATATAAATTATATAAATATAAAATATAAACCTCCCGCCTCTTCGACATTTTCAAAGTGTAGTGATGAGAATCAAGGAATTTATTTTGTGTGGCCTAATATATACATCAGGTTTTAAAGCTTCGATTTTATTGACATCGGTTAGCCTGGGTCTCCCTTTGTGATACTTACAATGTCCTCGTGGGTATCAATCGCGAAGTTAATATCGGCAATTCGATCAAATGGCGCACTAAAAAACAAGCAAACATAAGAATAGTAACCAGAAGTCACTCAGGGACTGCATACCTCCGTAAACGAACTAAGTTATACGTATCATAAATACATTATAGAATGGGCTATAACTTAAACGTTTCGCTAGAGGGAACTCCGAAGGGGGGGGGAGACGAGATTTTTTGTGATATCTAAAAACAACCCACAGAGTAAGAGGAAGCTATAGGGTTATTAACCGAAGCCAAATCGTGAATATTTTCGATTGTTTTAACTTCATGACTTACTTCATGTGTTCGTCAGATTCTGGGAATTGTTCATCGTCGAAACCCATGCTTTCTAAGAATTCTGGCGACATTTGCTGCAACTGGTATTGAGCGAAGGCCTAATAGAAAGATATAGGGGACATGTTAGTATCCACAGAGACCAAAACTCAGCGCGAGTTCAAATCCTGACGATAAACGAAACTGATTCAAGTTAATGAATAAGGCCAAAAGGAATATTTTTGTCGTAAAAACTTAGGTAGGGTGTGGGTTGGATTTTCTTTTCTTTTTCGTATTTTTTTATAAATGCTCTTTTATAGATCTTTTTATTCTGTTTGTTTGTTTGTTCGTCGTCAGTTAAGTTACCTGTTGATAGGAGGCATGATTTCCATTACGAAGAAACGAGACCGGTCGAAATTCGTCATCTTCATCGTCTGAAGATTGCAAGGGATGTCTTCCTGCCTGTAAACGAAATATTACAACAGTTGTGACCGTATTCTTAACAAATTTCGGTTATCATACAAATTCCACAATTCTCCAAAATGTACTAAAGATTCCCATTGAGTGCCAGCACTCCCCCCCTTGACGAGTAAAATCGTCGGAAGAGGTTATGAGGTTAGAGCTCGCCTGTTTTTTCCACCCCTGCGTATACCACTTAAAGGGTAAAAAGATACAAAATTAACGAATAAATAAATTTCATATGGTATAAATGTACACTCACCAAATCAGTACTATTTCTTTTATTAATCTCAGCCAGGTTCCCAGACACGAATTGCTCCCATTTGTCTTTGTCGCCTTGGTCAAGTTCTGAGAAACAAAAAACGATTGTAGGAAATTAATCATGACCATTATATTAGCTAATGTCCGAGCAGTTTCACCATCGACGCTGACTGAAACTCAACTATAAACAAGCAACTCAACACACCGTTATAAAGGGCGGTTAGTTTTTCTTGATTTTTCCCTTTGTCCATATTCTTGTAAAGATCATTAGCTATCTTCGTTAAATGGCCCATATAACCATGTCTTTTGCAACCACTTTCAGTCCTAACGTAGAAACAGAACAAACAGAATTTGTTTTAACGGAATTAAGCAAAGTTATTTCTGAAAATCATATATAAACAAGGAACAACAGGGAATTCTTTATGAAGCTACGATGAAACAACTTACCCATTCTCTTGCACCGCACATATTTCAGTGATTTTATGAACAAGATTTAAATCTTTCATCAGCTATAAAGAGAAAAATTCAACTTTATTATAAACTAAAATTACTGTAGTATATTTACATAGCTGAAACTGAAGTTTAAAGTGGGCTTTACACTACACAACTTTTGCCTAAAACTGTCGCATGCAACCTGCTTACAACTTGAGTTGTACTGTTTAAATTAAGCACATAACTCGCCTATTTCGAAATGGGCAAAATCTAAAGAACTTTTTTTACTTACTGTATTTAATAGTACATGTTCAGTTTCCTTTTCCACCGGTGAATTACTTAGAATCGTATTTATACAGTGTTCGACCTCGGCGTGTAGAAAATTATTCCATGGATATTGAAAAAATAGCTCCTACACAAAAAGAAACAATTACAACAGTTTAGTTTAGTTTAGTTTAATAACTTCATCATCAAATTTACAGCAGATGATTGGTGAGCAGACAGAGCGTAGCCCCAATTGAATCTGCCTACCATAATTACGAACGAATAACTTACATTATAGTACAAATTTACAACTAAAATTGAAGAACTCCTATAGAAAATGCGGGAAAATTACGGAGGTATATAATTATTCAGAGTTTTGTAAAAAAGGTTCTGTTTCCTCTTAAAGGCTCCAATCTTCGCAATGGCCTTCAGATCATCTGGCAATAGATTCCAAGCTCTGATTACTCTTGGGAAATATGAGTGTCTATAAAATTCAGTGTTACATCTAATCTCATGAAAATTGTTAATGTTAAAAGATCTAATGTTATATCTGACAGACCGTTTTTTAACAATATTTGAGACATCTAGATCGTATAAGCCGTTTTGGCATTTAAACAGAACTTGTTTTCGTGAGAAAAAAACGATTATTGCTGTTTATAAATGAGAGCAGATCAAATTCAGAGTGGTATACGATCTCGTTTCGGTCCAATGGACCTTCCCCCTTATAACTAAAATTTCGATCCAGACAAAAATTTCATCACAGCTTGAAAGAGCATCACAAAATTAGTAATATTCCAAAGTTTCGTTGCGAAATCTTGTAAAATGCGGATAATATAGCCTTGCGAAGTTTGCCGTTTTTCAGTCATTTTGTATTACAAACGGGAAATTGGCATCCGATTCGGGTGTTGGGGCTGCAATTTCCCATTTGTAATGCAAAATTACTGAAAATTGCAAACTTCGCAAGGCTCTATTTTACTCATTTTACAACATTTCGCAACGAAACTTTGGAATATTACTAATTTTGTAATGCTCTTTCAAGCTGTGATAAAATATTTGTTTAGACTTCCCTAGATCAAAATTCAAAATTTTGGTTATAAGGGGAAAAGTCTATTGTAACCATATTTAATAGAGGAGATGGTTTGGAAACTTATTAGCATAACAATAAACCTCACTATCTATGTTTTTGTTCAGGTTTATGCAAAAATGTGGTCTTTCATCGTCACGTGCGTATTGTATTTTTGCTCAACCAGCCAATAGCGACGGTTTTGTATACAATTGCCCATCCATGGCTTTAACAATAGGACATTTTGAACATTCCTATTGGTTGACTTGAGAAAAATACAATACGCACGTGACGATGAAAGACCACATTTTTGCATAAACCAGAACAACATAGATGAGGTTTATTGTGATTTTATTGTAATGCTAACGAGTTTCCAAACCATCTCCTCTATTAACTATGTTGTAACTCACCCACATAACTTGCAGAGTGCCTAACTTTGCCAACTCTTCGTTTACTTCGTCGCTATTCATTTGTAAAATGGCTGAGAACATTTTCATGACGTGAAGTCGAGTTTTGCCAAAAGGCGGTTCGAGTTTACCAACGGTAGTAGTCATGGCTGGCATCTAAATAGATCAATGAGAATTCTAGCTAGTTTGTTTGTTCTGTCAAAGTTTTGCTTATATTTTTCTAGTATTCATCCATGACATCGTCATGAAAAAAACTGGAAACTGTTTGATTTCATGCAACGTAAAAGCCATAAAAGCTATCGCAATGAAATAACAGGATGCAATAATTATAGGTATTATGGTTTGGTACTTCTTTGTTTTCAGCCACGTACCACGTATAGCTGTACGTGGAACTCTTGCTATCTGCGTACTTATTTTTTGCTGGTACCACATGACCTTTCCAAGTCCATGGTATTCAATACCGTAATTTAGTTGGTATATCATGTGTCTGAGATGTCTTGGCATGAAACATGATTGCACTGATGGCACTAAGAAACGTTGGAGTCGGTTGTTTGAAATAGCAAAACTCCGTTTTTTAATAGCAAAACACCCTTTTCAAATAGCAAAACTCCTTTTTCAAATAGCAAAACCCCTAGCATTTCAAATAGCAAAACCCCTTTTCAAATTGCAAAACTCCCTTTTCAAATAGCAGTACTCCCTTTTCAAATAGCAAAACTTTCTTTTCAAATAGCAAAACTTTCTTTTCAAATAGAAAACTCCTTTTTCAAATAGCAGAACTCCCTTTTCAAATAGCAAAACTCCCTTTTCAAATAGCAAAACTCCCTTTTTAAATAGCAAAACACCCTTTTCAAATAGCAAAACTCCCTTTTCAAATAGCAAAACTCCCTTTTCAAGTAGCAAAATTCCCTTTTCAAATAGCAAAACTTTCTTTTTCAAATAGAAAACTCCTTTTTCAAATAGCTAAACTCCCTTTTCAAATAGCAAAACTCGCATTTCAAATAGCAAAACTCCCATTTCAAATAGCAAAACTCCCTGCTATCTGCGTACTTCGTAAACATTTTCGAGTAGTTTTATATGGTTAACCCAACTCCTGACGTCATCAAAACCATAGTTAATGAGGTAAAGAATTTTTCCAAGATGGCGGAAAGTCATATTTTCCAATATGACAAATCGGTAATAGAGTTTAATATATAATTTTAAGAGTTCTTTTGAATGAGACATCTAATTTTTTATTGCCAATGTCCTTTAATTCACAAATTAAATCCTGGCTAAGATCCTGCATCTAAAATTAACTTACAGGTGGAGGATCAGTCAGTATGCAATGAAATCCATCGAGTCTTGGAACGATAGATGACAATGTCGTCGTTACACCTGAAACGACAATCACAATGTCTTTCACAAGCTAAAAAAATCTTATTTAATTAAGAAACAAAAATCTAAGATCATGTAATTGACTTTGCCAATGCCAAAGTATAATAGACAAGGGAAATCATAGGAACCTTAAAACTACACTAACAGACGAAGCTGATAATAACTCTAATACGCTTCCAGCACAATACTTTTAAGAAAGGAACTCAAGAAACATTAATTAAATATTCATATTCTCATGCATTTGTAACATAGCATAGATAGTCTTAGATTTCATACCACCTACTTAAGTTTAGCGTCCTTTATAGAATCATTTTTAGTTTAGTATCAAACGATCGTATCACTAGGCGCGCTACAACTAACAGTGTAACATTAAAAATTTCCAGAGTTAACACTTTAACTTTTCAGAACAATCTTTATAATAGAGCTCCCGGCCAGAATATAGAACTTCCTACCACCACATATTCGAGAAGCAAGCGTTACTGTTGGCCAATTCAAGTCTTACCTGTTAACTTATTATGAGGCATTGACTAAACAAATATATAATGCTCCACAAACGTTTAAAAGTATATGTGTCAAGTGTCACTCGTGTCGTCCGTTGTCCAGTCTTGTGGATAAAATGTGTTGTAAATAATGTAATGTTTTTTTTTATATACATATTATTAGGGACCCTGTAAATGGAGCAATAAGCTCAGTAGGGTTAATCTGTCATTTATGACTAAGTTTATATAAAAAAAATTGTATACACCAGTCGAAGGCTATTTAACAATTATTCGCCGAAGGCGAGGTGATTATCGGTGAATAAAAACCGAGACGAAGTCGAGGTTTTTATTCACGATAATCACCGAGCCTGAGGTAAATAATTGTTTTAGTATAATTTCACAGGTGATTATTTGGAAAAAAATAAAGAAATGCACATTTCTTCGTCTTTTAATTGACAAAACGGCTTCGGCCGCCATTTTGAAAATCGCTTAGGTGATTATCGCGTAATAATCACCTCAACGGTAACCAATCAGCGTGGAGAATTTTCAATAATCACCTATGTAATTATACTAAAGATTGATAGCCGAAAGCTCGTAGAAATAAATATTAAGTCAGAGAACGTTCAATAAATAATAAATTCAATAAATGGACGTTCAATATATGGACGTATTTTTTCAAGTTATATACCTTATTACAATAAAATGTTAATTATGAAATCTGCTGTGTTGGTGTAATGTACTCAGGTGAATAAGATGTTTGTGTGATGTTACTCTGAGTGTGTATCCACACCGGGCAGGCTTGAAAAATATGCCTGGCCACGGCGGGATTCGAACCTACGACCTTTGGAATACTAGCCCAATGCTCTTCCAACTGAGCTACGCGGTCAGGACGGTTCGAGTACGCGATATTTCAAAACTGAGTCTAGTTCCTTCGATATCAGTGTAATCTAATAATCATGAAATCTGCTGTGTTGGCGTAATGTACTCAGGTGAATAAGCTCAGTTGGAAGAGCATTGGGCTAGTATTCCAAAGGTCGTAGGTTCGAATCCCGCCGTGGCCAGGCATATTTTTCAAGCCTGCCCGGTGTGGATACACACTCAGAGTAACATCACACAAACAAAATGTTAATTTCTGCATGGAATTTCTGGAATTCGTTAATATTTTAACGATAACAGATATAAAAGAACAAAATTCACTTCGCTCTTGCAAAAATCTGTTATATAACAACAATTCATATTATTGTTATGACTGGTAAATTGAAATAAGTAAAATACTTTGTTAATGTTATGTAAAATTTCAATTTTCCATGACTTTCCATGACTAAAATTGATTTTCCAGGATTTCCAGACCTGGATTTTGGAATATTGAAATTCCATGACTTTCCAGGTTTTCCAGGACCCGTACGAACCCTGTTTTAAGACTCGAAACAGTTTCGAGGGAATTTTAACGACCATCATTAGTCTGTAAACGGTGACATTTTTACTATTACAGTAAATTACTAAATAAACCATACCGTGTGCCAATCTTTCCGCATCCAATGCTGTCACAGGTTCCCCAATTTCAACATTCGAAAACGGTGATTCAGAACTGGAAAAGAATCAGGCATTATTTACTGTAGGCGAATGCTTTAGATTACAGCTATGTCAATTAAGGTTGTCCACAAGCAAAGCGGAAAAGTCGAATATGAGCGCGAAAGACTGCTGGAAATCGCTAAAAAATTAATGAACTTTCATAGCGATTCCCAGCAACCTTTCGCGCTCGTTATTCGACATTTCCGCTTTGCTCGTGGACAACATTAATAGACCTTTCCCCTTATGAGTGAAATTTTGATCTAGAAATGTCTGGACAAAAATTTCATCACAGCTTGAAAGAGCATCACAAAATTAGTAATATTCCGAAGTTTCGTTGCGAAATGTTGTAAAATGCGAATATAGCCTTGCGAAGTTTGCCGTTTTTCAGTCATTTTGTATTACAAATGGGAAATTGATGATCAGTTTGATCATCTGATTATTAAATTCCCGTTTGTAATCTAAAATGACTGAAAAACGGCAAACTTCGCAAGGCTATATTATCCACATTTTACAACATTTCGCAACGAAACTTCGGAATGTTACTAATTTTGTGATGCTCTTTCAAGCTGTGATGAAATTTTTGCCTAGACTTGTCTAGATCAAAATTTCACTTAAAAGAGGAAAGGTCTATTGAAATAGCTGTATACCGTTAGCTATACACTTTTTATACAAATGGCTCTTTTCTACACTTACTTGCTTTTGTTTATTTCAAGTAAAGTCAGCAAAACATTAATTCCGCCCACGAGAGAGTCACTAGATGACTTCAGATGTACGTCATGTAGCATGTGATCCAACAGTATTGACAGCGTTTCTTTGCTAAATAAACAGATGTTTGCATAATTACCGTATACCAACTGACCAATTACAGTCATTGACCAATGCAAGACTTTTATTAGCGAACTTAAGCAAGTGACGTTTTTGACAACACGAACGACTCACGAGTCCATTGAACTATAAATAAACTGGAAGGCTAACTGCTATGGTGAAGGCCTATGATTTGATGAAGCCAAAATAGTTTTTCTGAGTTATGAGCAGAAATACTTGGCCCCAAACGTCGGGCAATATATCAAATTGAAGCTATTGAAAATTGCTATTCGGTGTGGAAATTTCAAGACTTCAGCGAAAAGAAAAATAATTAAAAAATACAAACTGCAAAACGGCAAATTATCGGTAATTATGTTTGTAGTTTTTCAATATTTCCCTTTTAGCTAAAGTCTTGAAATTTCTACACCAAATAGCGTTTTTCAATAGCTTCAATTTGATATATAGCCCAACGTTCAGTGTTGAGTATTTCTGCTCATAACTCAGAAAAACTAAAATGCACTGGCTTCAATCCCCCCCCCCTGAGTTAGCCTTCCAGTTTATTTATAGTTCAATGCACGAGTCTGCCTCCTCCGCAGGCCCTCGTTGCGTCATGGGAAGGTCACACACAATGTGGAGTGGGCCTGCGGAATCTTGTAAAAAAAATGGCGCCAGCGTCACGTCAGCAAGTAAATTTCTACATAATCTTGAATATAAACAGGCTATAAAAATGCGGCGGGAAACTTGTAAATAAAAACGGCGACTCTAAGGACGTGGAAGGATGCATTTTTTAACGATAAGGTCTGTTGTCCACACCAACGTTGCACGAATAAAACTGCCTTCTTTGACGAAGCAGATTTAGAACAACATTTATTCATTTTACAAGATTCCGCAGGCCTTCTCGAAATCGTGACCTTCCCATGACGCAACGAGGGCCTGCGGAGGAGGCAGGGCACGAGTAACGTTAAAAGACTGGGTCAAGAATTTTGGTTGGTTGATAACGTCAAATATGCTTCCGGTCAACGTTCGTGCTGTCAAAAACTTAAGCTCGTTGTTGTTCATTCACAGACTCCATATCCCATTCAGTAAGTCTGTTTGCAGACTAAACCACGGCAACACGACAGCAACAACCGAAACAAAGTCGTTGACGTAAATCTTATGAATGTAACTTGTCGCTTATTATCCATCATGTATAAATTTAATAAAGTTTTACGAGATAGTGACTAATGACATGCAGTTCCACAGAGCCAATTTGGAGTGCCGCTTATTGCGGCTGAAAAAATCTCATCAGCAATGCTGCTGGTATTAACGGGAGAACATGCGCAGTGATTACAATTATCATTATATAATATAGCATTTGTAAATTCTGAACGCTGATTGGCTAAGAGCCATGTTGATATAACTCAATGTCAACACGGAAACGTCGGAAAATTTCTTTCTTTATCTTTCTTTGTGCTATATTATAAAACAAATATAAAATATTTTTTCCGTATTGATATATAGTTATATCAACACTCGTGGAAATTGGGAAAACTCGAAATTGTGTGAAAACACTCCGCCCTTCGGGCGTCGCGTTTCCACACAATTTGTCGTTTTCCCAATTTCCACTCGTGTTGATATAACTGTATATCATCAACACGGAAAATGTTTTATATTTGTTAAACGTTACGCTTTTATGCACAATATAAACATATAAATATTTCGGGAGGTAGCCTCGCATGGGCTATTATGGCCCGTTCGCTATTTTCCCGTTTAGGAACTGCATGTTTGTTGTATTTGTACCTTATTAATGTAATATATTTAGTTCCTAATAAAGCTGTTAAAAAAAAAAAACCAAAAAAAAAACATGCGTCTTCTTATACACTATAAATATGAGACTTCCTGTCAAGTTCTAAAAGATGCGTATAAACAGTACGTTTAAATTTTGAGAAGGATATAATTTCTCTAACGTCTCAAGGTAACGAGTTCCAGTCTTTCGCACCAGCATAGTTGAATGTTGATTGACCTATTACACTGTTCACCTTCCGAAGATCAAGCAGCGTCGTATCCCTCAGGTCTCTGTTGTGCATGCAACGTCTGAATTTGAACGTATCGCTCAGTTGGCTAGGGCAGTCCAAGTTATATATAGTATGCAAGCGTAGTAGACAAGACGTAAAAATCTGAGGTTTGCTGTGGTTAATTAATACAGTGAGGACAGTGGCTGCAGCATCAACTGAGCCACAGACTCCAGTTGTCGAGTTCTAGTCGCAAATTCAAGTATATATAACATGAAAGTGGTACCAATGTAAGGTGTTTTTACCCATGGACTTTAATTATTCATTTCTTTTCGGGAATATTATTTCATTGTATTATAATAGCCGTCACTGTCACATTGCCAAGCCCTGCTTGCACTTACTTTTCAATGGTTGCCAATATAGGATCAGGATATGCGCTCTCCTGTAGTTGAGACATGTGTTCACGACTTGTCTTGATTAAATCACAAAGACATTGTGATGCATTGTAGATTTTCTGCAAATAATAAGCTTCTTAGTCATGTTTCCCAAAAGTGGGCAAACCAGGAAACATTGTTTCCTAGACATGTTTCCCGAAGGTGGGCAAACCAGCAAACATTGTTTCCTAGCCATGTTTCCCAAAGGTGGACAAACCAGGAAACATTGTTTCCTGCACATGTTTCCCGAAGGTAGGCAAACCAGGAAACATTGTTTCCTGCACATGTTTCCCGAAGGTAGGCAAACCAGGAAACATTGTTTCCTGCACATGTTTCCCGAAGGTGGGCAAACCAGGAAACATTGTTTCCTACACATGTTTCCCGAAGGTGGGCAAACAAGGAAACATTGTTTCCTAGCCATGTTTCCCAAAGGTGGCCAAACCAGGAAACATTGTTTCCTAGCCATGTTCCCCAAAGGTGGGCAAACAAGGAAACATTGTTTCCTGTCATGCTTCCCGAAGGTGGAAAAACCATAAAACATTGTTTCCATGTTACCCAAAGTTGGTGAAAAATATACGCTGGAACGTTTTTTCAACAACAATATTTTTTATGGTGAACAAAAAGAGAAATATTTTCAAATGCCTTCAAGACATTTCCTATCACAGCTTTGATTTGCACTTTGGACTTGTGTCAGTCTGTGTCATGCCAATTCTCTGTGCACTTAATTGGTTCAGCACTCAAGGCTAAAGCCTGGCGCACACGATGCGATTTTAGTCGGCCGATAAAAATCGTTTGACTAAAAGTAACAAAATCGTTGTGTGTGCGGTGTCATTTTTAACCGATTTTTGTTGCTCGATTTTAATCGGACAACATCAAAACGTTTTGATATTATACGATTTTTATCGGTTTGTATTTACTTGGCAACATGGTGGCTACAGTTCAGGGAGCATATTTTTTTCATAATCGTGTGCGGCGTATACCGATGTATATCGGTATGTCAAACGATTTTTATCGGCCGAATAAAATCGCATCGTGTGCGCCAGACTTAAGTAGAAAATAAAGACAAGCAGAAACACCACTTACGTCGGAGGAGTGTCGTGGGTTTGTCAGGTCAACAAGCTTCTCTATTAATCGTTCGTCATCTAACCACTAAAACATTTCAATCAGTCAATGAGAAGTTTATCTCAATGTTCAAAGGTGTTTACATGGACTTTAATACTAGAACTAAAAATATTTATGCTCGATAACTCTATCAGATGATCAGATCTAAACTGTTCTATGATGTTAAATATTGTAAGAGACTACAATAACTGGATGATCCTGTTAGATACAATGCTTTCTGCACATTATAATATAGTATTATGTGAATTGTTTGTTCCTGTTGTTTGCCTATTTATATTCCAATCTATCACGAGTTGCTGTTTCACAGATCAATATTTTTGAGGTTTTTTTTTTGCTACATAAAAACGTGTATCTATTTTCCCAATTTATGTCTCCACCGTCTTGACGGATTTATCTTTAAACCTACTAATATGATATACCAATTTTGCAATCTCACATCTTGGCTGTTCATAGTTAGCCTTTATGGTTAGTACAGGCAATTGATCTTATGTTAATTTAAATTGAATTAATTAATCACAAACTTGTAAAATTTCAATAAAGTTTCAATTTCGATAAAGTTTCAATAAGTTCTCCCCAGAGGACCAGCGAGAGAATACCACCCATTCACTGTTCACTTACTTGTAAAACCTCTAATCTTAATTCACTAATTTCCACATTATTTGCAAGTCTCAAGACTAGATCCATGATTGCAGATGTGTCGATATGTCGGAGAATACAATCTACAGGTTTCTCTTTCGACTTGAGGAATTGAAGAACCTTGAAAAATGGAAAGCATGCTTTGAGAAAGCAAACATCAAAAACATTCCATATGTATGTGGATATATATATATATATGTATGTGGATATATATATATATGTATATGGATATATATATATATATATATATATATATATATATATATATATATATATATATATATATATATATATATATATATATATATATATATATATATAGCCAATGTTATAAGATAGAATGACATCGTTTTAGGATAATTCTTTATGATACATTGCAATTGAAATGGAAAAACTTACTATAGTGGTTTTTCTCCCAACAAGCAACGAAAATACTTTACTAAAAAAGCTTTAGAAAAAAGAAGTTTTTAAGGTCTGGCATTAGACAGAGTAAAATTGTCTGGCATTAGACAGAGTAAAATAATAAAGTCGGGTGCATATGGGCTCAATTCAACTTAATGGTTAACTGGACACAACCGCAGATAATCTGATTAACCAATTGAGTGCCAGCTCTCTCTCCTTGATAAGTAAAATCATCTAGCATTAGAGAGAGTCAAGTAATAAAGGAGGGTGCAATGTGATGTGGGTACATACAAAATAATGAAAACTCAATTTGTTATGGTACTATAGTTACCTTGCTAAAAGAGGGTTTAATGTTTTTTCGGTATCTAAAAATGTCCATAATTTATCTAAAAGAGCCTGAACACAAAACATAAAAGTTAGTTGTAAAATTCAGCGTGCTAGTGTTAGATGATGTGTTAGTGTTAGATGATAAAAAACCTATGATGTATATTGCTCCATTTAGCCTAAAAATGTAAGCATAGCATTACAACATTTTGAGAAAGGAAAAGAAAATTCATGCATGCAAAAGTCAGAGATGAAGGGTCTTCGTTTCAAAATGTTGTCAGTAATTTTGTGCTTTATGACAAATACCAAAAAATTTCAATCAAAACTTACATTAGTTGCCGTCATTTGTTCTACAATTACTTGTACATCACATGTCAGCAGTTCACATGCGACATTGGGATACCTACAACAACAGTAGAATATAATGATCAAACACTAGTGTTTATGAAAAGAAATTTTGCCCCAATTTTTTATTGCACGACTTGAAAGTATATTGAAAATAATGACAAATGGTGGTTATGCTGAAAGGCCAAGACACACGGACACAATTTGACAACACAGCATAATTTTTCAGTTTTTTCTAAATACTTGAAAAACTTAAACCAGGATAAAAGTTATCAACCTGTGAAAATCGAAAAATCGCACCATGTTGTCGAATCGCGTCCAGTGTGTCCTTGCGATGGCAGCAAACACAAATTAGTTAAACCTGAGCATCTCAATCACGAAAACGAATGTGACATATTTTTCAGAAAGGTCTATTAGTAAGTCAGAAAACTGCGGATTGACAGGGATCCAACACAGGACCTTTTGCTCAAGTTTTACTTCCTGAAGGACCTTCGATCGACACGTTGAAGTTTTACATGTATTTTTCAGGCAGGTTCGATTCTATGAGTAACTGCAGTTAGCGACCTGGAGAAAAGCTGAGCTGTTTGGTGACTATTTCAATTCATCCACTTACTTATATCGTAATTTTTCTTCGACATCTTCGTCCGGTTCTTTTGTTATCAAATCAACTAACTCCACCAACACTTCTGGTTTTGTCAAACTGGAAAGATAAATAAAAAACAATGGGCAATCCTAGCTACCGGGGGATGCACGATGACTTGACTAATTTGGAAACTTGACACAAGTAGGTCAGGGTTATGGGAGTGTTTGGATGAGAATTAATTGCATTGAATAACTTGAAATTAATTAATCTTTTTCACAGTATATTACAACATTGCACACAACTTGGGTCGGTTGTTCAAAAGCTGTTACATAGCTTAACCCTAGGTTAACTTAAAATTCAAAGCAAACTTCCTAACTTGTTTATAAATTTGAAAATATTTCTTCGGAAATATTGTCTGTATCAGTTTGAGTTTTCTTCTCTGAAGTCTTGAAATAAACAGATGTGCAGAAATACATAGACCGAAAACAACAGGTTAAATTTTAACCCAGGGTTAGAGCTAATCCAGCTTTGAACAATCGGCCCCTTGTGTTTAAAAGTTTTGAGAGACTTACAAATCAAGAAGTTTTCTATTCTGTGATTTACATTCCTGTAGTACATCATCCTCATCTAGGATCTCAGATAATGTACAGTCCTGCAATAATAAAAAAATTATCAGACTTTCTGCCCATTTGTCTACCCATAACATTACATTGTGCCCGACTTTACTATTTCATTCAGCCCTCAAAAAAGTCAAAATTGAGGTCCGCACTTTTTTGATCGGATCAGGGTTCAAATTAGTTGAGAAAAAATGATGTGCAATTTTTGGGACAAGATTTGCCTCTGAATCACATGTTTTAGACAGCATGCCTGTCACAATATGTCCTTTCAAGAAGTAGCACTTTGAACAAATTTTGCATGTATTATAAAATCTCCAGAATATATTAGAAACAACTGAACTGAAATTATCCTTTTCACAATTAAGTTTGAATATATAAAAAGAGGAAAATAAGCATTAGTCACAACCACTTTACTAATAACAGATTTTTTGCACATCGTTTGGAAAAGTGATGTGCAACTTTCCCAATTTTGGACAAAATGATGAGCAAATTGCACATTGTTAATTCAAACCCAGGATCGGATATTCTCTCCTGCATTATAATTTCAAAGCCGCAGCAACCAACAGTAGTAACACAATCAAATTTTGTGTTTCCCACAACTGTTTTTCAATTTTCCTACAGCTGTTTTCCATTACAATTACTCAACAAGCTTCACACTTTCCTTAACTGTACTAGGAAAGAAATATAAGCTGCGAACAAAGTACCGTTGCAGTTGTAAGACCTGGTAAGGAATAACGAACAAACACACTGGCTTTCAAACTGCTGTCAGCAGCTGAAAAGATACTTCTACTGAGTCCTACTGGATTGTGGTCAGCAAAAAATTACCAACCTGGGATGTCAACAGGTTAGCATTTAGGTCATTTTCGAGGGCTGTTTACTCTGTAAAATCGTCTGGCATCAGACAGAGTAAAACAATAAAGTAGGGTGCATTGGGGTGCATTGCAGCTTCATGGGTTTCCCTTTTGACAAGTAAAATATCTAAACATTAAATAAAGTTTACACCTAGCAATTCCTTGTGTACAATTCGCATTCTGGCGTACAAAAATTACTGCTGATGCCTGACAATTCCTCTTGAATGCTTATTGGATTACGTATGCCAGAATATGAATCATACACAACAAATCTCAGCATGTATACATACATTCAGACAGATTAAGATAAATAAAAAGGGTGTACTAATTGTACATTGTACTGTATGTGTTAAAAGAGAATGGGTCATTCCAGAAAACACCCACACCTTGCCCATGGGGAAATTTGGACGGCCTGGTACATTTTACTATTACCAGAAATCATTTCACCCTTCTCTTCCGGATGGCAGAAATTTCCTGCATAGGGGGAATACAGATCTTTTCTAAAATGGCCTACTGACAAACAGACATTGCCACAGACGTTAACAGACATTGCGAGACGGTCAACTATTAACAAACAAGACTCTCCTCTCGACGAGTAAAATCGTCTTGCGTTACAAAACTGGCTAGCCTGCAAACCGGCCCAACCGGGCTCTCGTACATAAAGTCCAAATCTCTGGCAGATGCAAAATCACAATGTCAACAATGAATTTTTATTATATAATACTATAAGCAACATGCAATGCTAAAACACTTAATTCATTTTTCACACTAAAAGGCTAACAGAAACGTCTAATTTTTTTATATACTCACGTCTTTTGATAACACCGTATCCAGAGAGGAATTTGGATGCAAATCGAACTTCCAAAACATCGTTCAACTTGCAAGTAGGGACCTGATCTGATTCAGTTATAATAAAAAACCTCAAGAACACTTTGCAAAACGTCGTCCCGATACTAAATGGCAAACATTTGCGCGATAAACCACTTCGATCTCCTCTTTCTTATCACAAAAAAAATCTGTACACAAACCAAAAGCCCTCGGGTAATCCAGAACGACTAAAATTAACACGTATTCCAAGTGATTTCACAATATATAAACACAAAATGTAGTGTGCAATTCGACACAGGTCAATGCAGATTTTATGAAACTTATACGACGATCGACGTCTGAAACCGGGCAAAAATTGACCAGCTAATACTCTTGAATGGTAGAAGATATATCAGACCAAACGCTTCCGTAGTTTGGCGGTGTGATTTGGAAATATAACTTGAAATTTAAAGACATTTCCACTCGAATTACGGCGAATTCAAGACATGAAATTGGAGGCCATTAAATCGTCACGTATAAACAGACACCAGGAAATCGGCTACGGTCGATTCATACGTTGTAGGGATATGTTGCAAAATTCGGCAGAAAGCCGGCCAGGAAGATTGTCGATCGCGAAAAAATCAAAATTTTCACAGATTTAAAATGTATAAACGACGAATTTCGCCAACGGTATATAAAAGAAAGTGCAAGGCAAAGATTTCCCACACTCCCTTGCGCGAGCTTGCCAAAAGTCACGTGATCATAGCAATGTTAATATTGCGTAATCTTGGACAGTCGTCTAGAGGTGTGGCTCGAATTTTTGGGATATTTTCGCGAATTTTTGAGGTTCTTTGAATTTGGTTTTTCTTTGGACTTTTGAGAGCGAATCGCCAGTGTTTTTAACTATTTTCCCGTTATTGAAAGCCATCTTTGCGGTTAATGCTTGTATGCTGATCATGAAAGTAAAATACACCTTTGGAGGTGTTAGCTAGACATAATGAAATCTTGTTTGAAAAGGGCCAATCCATTGTGTCGGCGATCAGTTTCATTCCCAATGTGTCTATCCAGTTTGTATTGGGATCAGAACTGATTAGAACTGATCTGCTAATAAAAAACTGGATAGACCTATTGAAAATTAAACTGATCGCATAACACACTGGATAGACGCTATCAAAAATGAAACCAGACACACCTCGACAAGAGGGTCTGAATGGGGTTAACTGACTACAAATATTTGCCTGCATTTTTCCTGACAAATGACAAAATATCCTAACTGACAAATTATGAAAAAATTATGAGCCAGCATTTTGCAGTAACTGACTACTGACAGCTTGCAATATATCGCACTGACAACTGACAACTGGCTTAAATTTTAGCTGACAACTGACACCCAAAGACCCCCATTACAGTAAGACCCTCCGACAAACACGCTAAACAAAAAGCAATACAAAATCGGTTTATTGACAGACATGTACAGTTTGTAATCGTTTACCTCTACTATTTATAGTAACAGTAGTAATACTAGTATACATTTTAATTTACGAGGGAAACGTATTTGCCTTGACAGGTATCTTGTAAACATTAGGCCCTCACAATATTACAATATTTGTAATAGGTCACAACTCACGCACAACTGTATGCAAAACTATAGGTTTATGTCAGAGTTTTTTCTTAATGCTAGCTTTTATTTTTTCCTAGCACAATTTGCAAAACAATTCCAGGCCATTGTGCATGACCTTGCCCCGCTGTGACGCTGTCGACGTTTTGCGGTTTCGAGGTATGGCACCGAAGAGGGTTGGGTAAACAAAATTTTGAGTGAGTAAAGGTTGGGTAAATGAAAAACAAAACAACTCAAGGGTTGGGTATAATAAAAATGTATCATCATTTCCAAAGCTTGACTCATTCAAAAATTTAAGACCAAAAAACAGCGTCAACAGTCATATGTCAATACAATATTTAAATTGACAGTGAGCCAGAAAACAAATGGCTGAATGTCTCCAAGGAAAGTACATGTGCAGACAACATGAAACTTTAGTCTTTAGTCTTTAGACTGCAGAAAATTGCACAAACAGTTATCAAACAGCCACAAAAGTGGTAAAGGTCATGTGTGACAACTGAATGGTATTCTTTTGTAACGTTTTTGGCCAGGTGAGGGTGTTTATTTTTTAATTGATATTTGAGGTTGGGTAAAAATATTTTTTGACTTTTTAATGGTTTGATCAGCAACATTTTTACCACTGAAGACATTTCTCTTCGGTGACACACCCTGACTAACCTGAAGTTCAGGCCCTACCTGAACTTCAGGTTACACCCTGACATAAATAATACTGAAGTGGATATATAATTGTTTTTGTTTGTGGAAACACCACGTAAATTTATTACTGCAAAGCTTTCGATCCGTAAGCCCGGATCTTCATCAGTGCTAATAATATGTCAATAATAATATGTCAATAATAATAATATGTCAATAATAATAATAATAATAATAATAATAATAATAATAATAATAATAATAATAATAATAATAATAATAATAATAATAATATGTCAATAATAGCACTGATGAAGATCCGGGCTTACGGATCGAAAGCTTTGCAGTAATAAATTTACGTGGTGTTTCCACAAACAAAAACAATTATATTTTATCGCCATGCAAACATTCAAAGAACTTATAACTGGATATATTTTGTCGTACTTCCCGCCAAACTAAACTAAACTAACCCAAACTAAACTAAACCAAACTTAACAAACCAAATTAAACTAAACTAAAGTTAAAACGGACGGACAGCCAGGTAATAAACTTCGATTTCCGATGGTGAAAAATTTTGACTTCCCGCCAAAAGTGAAACGGTTTCGGGTCTCAAGTAGCCATACCCCTTAGGAGCCTGGTACGAGCGACCAAAATTTGTGGTGGAATGGGTGTTCGCGTTCGCGTTGTTGGAGATTTCCAGATCGGAGAAAAAGCCAAAAGTCGGTCCGTTACCAATCCGGGCGACAATTGCAATCTCGTTATCCTTGTCAATGAGCGGGGCATTGAAAGGTGCAAGGTTGTCTTTATTTCTCAAAGAGAAAATGAAGGATTCCGGCGCCATTTTGTATTGGAAACCTAATGTAGAAATTTAAGAATAAAGCACAGATGTCATTACTGGACCCGCTAGAAAGAACGATTTGAACAGAGCTGGCAGGGTTTATTTTAACGTGCAGTTCTACACAAAATGTGCAGTTCTAAATCCATTTGTGCAGTTCTTAAAACACCAATGTGCAGTGACCAAACTAACAAAAATAATGTTAATTAAAACAGTCTGCTCATTTACTCGTTACCCTTGTGGATGCTCCAGAAAATTCCAGAAATGCTGTCATTAATTGAGCATCAAAAACATAAACGTTTCCTGGGGGAGCCCGGAGGACCCTCCTATTTTCCTCAAAAATCACTTACGTACTGGGGTAATGGAAAATAAGGTAAACTTGGGGCGAGCAAAGCTCCCCAAAAGAGATTAGAGTGGGAGAACCTATAATATTCTTTGCTGCCTCAAATGCAAATTTAAGGTTGTTATATATTGAATATCCATGATTTCCAGTTACATGTTTTGAAACAGTTTTTGTGAGTGGTTGGGTAAAACAAATCTTTGCCAGAACTAAAGAGCCTCTAGATTCAAATTGTTTTGGGGAACAACCCATAGCTCCCGCACCCAAAATCGAGTTTGTCTGGCCTTTCTCCAATTCTCCCACCCAACCACACCGTTATTCTGTCACCTATATGCAGGTAAAAAATCCTTCAACCCCACCCTCCCCCCAGTCGTTGCCTTCGTAACATCCCTATATGTGCAGTTCTAAATTTTTCTTAAAATAAACCCTGAGAGCTGGAATAAGGGCAATCCTTTATACGCTTTATTGGTCCAGTGGTATACTGGTATTACAAGAGGAAACAGGAATACCTTGTGCTTCTTCACTTATGCGACTGAGGTAACATTATAATCAGACAACCGCATATTGCAGGAATCAATGCCCGTTTACAGAGAAGGGATCATATCATATCATATCAATGGATGTTTCCAGCTATAGACGAAATTTTGATCTAGGCAAGAAGAACGAAATCCATTAGCATAGCTGGAAAGAGCATCTTAAAATGAGTAAAATTGCGAAGTTTGGTTGGGAATTGTTGTAAAATGAAGAAAATATAGTCCTGTGAAGTTCGCAAATTTTGTATGTAGGCTATATATTTGCATTACGCGTGGGAAAAATAACCATTTTTGAGCCGAAAGTGGTTATTTTTACCGCACCGTAATACAAATATATACCTGACAAGATTTGCGAACTTCACTGGCCTATATTTTCTTCGTTTTACTCAGTTTTACTCATTCTAAGACGCTCTTTCTAGCTGTGTGTTGGATTTCGGTTTTTTTTCCTTGATCGTCCTTCTTGCCTATAGCTAGAATCGCCCATTGCAATTCCATCTTAATCTATTTTATTTATTTAAGAAAATTCAAAGAAATTTTAGACCTAGGGCTAGGTTCAATCCCTGCTCCCTTGGATTATCCACCAAGCCCAGCATTCAAGTTTAACCAAGTTCAAGTGAAGTGCAAAAATGTTCATTTTTTCATCGTTACCTGGTACAGCAGGAGCTTTCCACGACGCTTCAGTGTACCCGCCGAAAATGTAGGTGTTCACTTTAACAACGGTTAACGTTGGACCTTTGCCATCGCAGCCTTTGTGAAATTGTGCGTCCACATCCCAGCCATCTCTGTTAGCATGCCAGCAAACACTCCATGTTCCATGTCCAGGGACCCATGACTGGAGATGGCTTATAAATGCCAGTGGCTCGCCTGATAATATTGTCGTATTTGAGAACGGATCTAAGATTAGGAAAAAGAATAATCTTCGAACTTTCGGACCGATATAATTATGGTACGACATATATGGAACTAAATGTTGAATGGAAATTAATATATCAGATCTAATTCACCAGGAACGGTTTGGCGAACAGTAGAGTCACGATCTTTTTCAACTTTTTCAATTGTATCGAATGAGATGAGCAAAATTCTGACGTATAGAACTACCTATACAAACCAAGCAGGTTGCAGTTGTATACTGACTTTTATATGTGGGTCGCTTTACTGTTAAGAATGACAGGAAGCTAGACTGGTTGAATTACGGTGGCCGAGGACGGATCAACCGACTGGACTAACGTACCGTTCGGTTTTTTATCGTCTTCCTTATCTTTTTCGTCTTTCGTCTTGTTTTTACTCACGAGCTTGCATGCGTTCGACGTTGACATCTAAACAGAAAATGTCTTCGAATACTGAATATATGATAATCAACCAGACACAGTCGAATCTTTCTGTATTCGACCGTGAATGAGTTGAAGAGCCGAGCTCCACAATAAGATAATTATGGCCTTTGCCATATTTCAGTGGGAGTTAATAGTGGGAACCCGGAGATCTGTTAGAGTTGATCGAGTAGATCATTTATATTGGTTTCATGACATGTACAGAGGGTAAATACTATTTAGTCTTATTTCAGTTGGTTGAGATGTTTTCAGCGAGGCCCATGTAAAAAGTATTTTCCGCATCTTCATAATGTTATGAATTGGAATCCATGCTATAGGTCCATATATATCAAACAGCATAAACAGGTAGAATTCATTGCATGCGTATATACCTGTCGCATCGGTGCTGGTTGATGAAACATCCAACTTTTTCCACTTCTTTTAAAATCATGTTTCAGTACATTCGTAAGCTGACAGTTGAGTTCCTTGCCACTGCTTCTCGTGTTAAAATTGAACGCCCTGCATTGCACGTCAGCCAAGCATTCGTGAGCGCAATCCATGCAGTCTGGCGAAAACTGATCTTTCAGAAGTGACATTGTTTTCCAAAGAACCGACATCTAAAAAAATGCAATTTTGCTTCCAGAGATTCTAGACTTGAAAAAAAAAAGTGAGATCTACTTTACACAACACACTACTTTAATTTGCCCATTGAAAACTAGTGTTGCATGCAACCTGCTTACAACTTGAATTGTACAGTGTGTAAATCAAGCACATAACTCGCTTTATGTTGTCGTTGGTTTTGAGGCACACTTTTGAGTAACATTTTAAAAAGGCAAAATTTTGAAATTACCTTTCTCAAATCTTCCTCAAAAGTGCGTAAAAACAATGGAAAATTTGAGCGTGTACCACAGTGTATTTTTTAAGGATTCTTTAGTGGTGGGGAAAAACTGCCAAAGGGCCCATTTTCCTTGCCCTCCACCCAGCTGGGTAGTATGCGATCGCCGAAGGTGTGAGCCGAGTACCACAGCCACGAGATAGCTAGGGGGGTCCGGGGGCATGCCCCCAGAAAATTTTAAGATTTGGGTCTCTGAAATAGCATTTCCTGCATTCTGAGAACACATTAAACAAAAATCTCAACTTCTCAAAACAAAGTTTTAATGGTGAAATTTGTAATAAATTGCATGCTAAACATTCAAACACAACATAAGTTTAAGTATGCTCACCAACAAATTTTGTTTTTAAACTTCTTTTCAATGTTAAACTCATTTACTCAATACAGCTCATAGGGCCCTGGCTTTGGGGCAAAAGGCCTTTTTTTCTTCAGTGGTGGGGCAGAGGAAGGGGCCCCGTGGGGCAAATGCCCCACCAGTCCATGCTATTAAAAAATGCCTTGGTGTACCAAATTTGAACATTGAAAAGGACTTCATCATCTCAAATGTCATATAAGAAAGTATATATATAAGGATTTCTTAGGATTCTCCATGCATAGCGTATATGTGCGCAGTGAAAAATGAAAAATGTTCCTCCATCTTCTTGCTGTCCTCGGGATGCCAAGATCTCATATGTTCTATATAGGTCTGCGTGACAGGTTCATAAAATTATTAAAAGTAACTACAGACGAAGGGCATTCGCTCGAAACGTCCAAATTCTCCTTATATATTTTCAGGTAGTTGCATCCCTATACCAACTAATGAGTTTTGATTGGCACTATCTGCACTGGCAATTAAAGACATTTGAAATTTCAAGATTAATAAAATTATTGCTTAAATATTATTGCAGATATACATGCAGCCCGCACAAATTCTTCAGTCCTATCTCGTGTTCAGTGACATATACTATATAGTCTTACTTTGTCGATATTTCTATATATAGTTAGAAAAGAGAATTGTCAATTAACAAAAAATTAATAAAATTAAATTTTAAAAAACTCACCAGAATGAACTAGACGGAAAACCTGGGACCTTATATTCTTCTTTCCACCTTCTAAATTCCCATGCGACTAGCTACGGCCCTCTTCTAATATTATAGGGACGCCATGACGCCATGACTTCTGATCCATACGATTAAAGGGTTAAATTATGCAGGCATTTACATACATCCGTGTTGAAAAATTTGCATATAGCTTTAGCTTTCACACTGTAATTGCCCACACAAAGAACTACTCATGAATTGTAAATGTTTCGAAAACGGAAGACGAAAGAGTGCTATAATATTCCTGAAATTCTTGTACATATGCATAGCTTCCTCGTATGAGCTTTCGTTTTTAGCTTGTAAATGAGAGCTATTTATGAAGAAACACATGGGTTTTATAGTATTGCTCATATTTGTCACGATATGGGCGATTCCTGTGCGCGGCTGTGAACCGAATTCTGGCTGCGCTGACGAAGCTATAAATCTGGTATTCACTATAATCGGAGCAATCATGATCGTATCCATTATTATGGTGCTGATTTTTTGTTGCTTCAAAAGCATAGGAAAGCGGAGAGGATCCAGAGGCAACGTTTGTAATTGTGGACAAACAAGGTGGCAGTTTGATGGTGGTGTCGAAGCCAGGGGGGACTTTGGTGGTGACGATTTTGGAGGTGGTGATTGTGGGGAAGAGGACAGAAGGTTGCTGAGCAACGTCTTCGTATAACCCTAGGGTATAACCCATTGAAATGGGTGGACGGTGAAAGAAAGACAATCGAACATGTGAAATAAGTGAATATACTCTTATATAGTAGAGCCGGAGATGTTCAAGATGGTTCCGAGTTTAAACGCAGAATTCGCTTTAGTTTAAAGCTCATTATATTATATATTATGACGTCTTTATTGATGAACTCTAAAATGACAAATATAGACACGGCATACGCGTGCCTTTCCAAGAAATTAATGAAATATGATAAAAATATTTATAGTGATATGACAAATATTGATAGATTTATACATTTATATTTAATTGAATAGACATAATTTATTCTTTAAACAAGCAACGTTTGAATCGTTCGGTTTTAACTTTAGAGTTTAGGGAGGATAAAATTATGTTCTCGTTTCAAGGTTAGGATGTGGAGTAGGTTTAGGGTAAGTTAAAGGATTCTTATAAATGCCTAGTTGTTGATTCTTTCGCTTTCAACGATCTTCAAAACCATAGCTGCCATCTTGAAAACCTCCTCGACTTTAATTCATGTTTACACTGAACTCTAGCTCAAAGCCCACGCACAGACAGGTTTTTATTCTCTCGCATGTACGGCAAAAAATTGACAACTTTTCCTTGTCAATTAGGAGCCTTGTTTCAGAGCTATTGCTAGTCATGCCATCTTTTGGAATTTGGATAAGCTATATATAGGACAATTTGTTCGCATGTACGGCAGCCAAGGATGGATTTTTCAGTCACGTATAATTATACGTACCACGCAGTGCTCTTAATTGTTTGTCTAGGTACTTAACTTTTTGCACAAGCATGTAAAAACTTTTTGCTTGTACCATTTGATCTTTCCAAACCTAAGTTATTCAAAACCATAATTTAGTCGGAATACGTGCAAGTCTTGGCATTAAACAACGATTGGACTGATTTAGCATGACTTGGGATTAAACAACGATTGGACTGATGTGATGAGATGGGACAAAGGAATGTTAGAGTCGATCGTAGTGTTTGTGTATCTAACTACTAGTTTAATTTCTGAATGAGGATATCTTTCAGAAACCTGTGCATTATGTACTTCATTCTAAAGACTAAGTACACCTTAATTGAGTCTTAAGTTTGTACTATCTCAAGTACGCGGCAATAATCATTGGAGCAACATTCAGGTAGGACTAAAAAGTTTGAATTATCGCCGCACCCTGACGTAAAGTCATGCTATATGTTGTATGGATGAGGCGAAGAGAATGTGTTTGAACATCTCAAATACAAATTTCGCAAACATGTCTTTGATAATATTTCAAATGTAGTGGTATTGCAAATTCTAGATCTGCAGGCCTATACGTCCGGGTTTACAAAAACGTTGACTGCTTAATAATACACCCTTAAATTCCGGATTAGGCTTGGCTGTAGAGCCATGCCCCTTTCGTAATTGAGATATTGGTTTTAGAGCCCTTTAAGATCTTGTTACAGATTACACGTGCAATTATATTAGATTAAAAAAGAACTTTATTTATAATTATACCAAAGGCAAAAAATGGACATGGATTTAACTACCTGAAAAATACATACACCCTTTCGATAATTACGTCACAACCATACTGTTTTCAACTTAGGACCACCTTAAATGGAAAGGATTTCAAGGTTTTTTTTCTCATGGGCTTTGCACAGAGAAGCAGAACATCCTTCTTCAACACATGCATGAAAAAGAATTCTTTATTTTGACCAATAAATGTGGAAATAAGCTTTAACACGAAAACGAGAAGACTCCAGGTCATGACCAAAATTTTTTTCGCGCATGTGTTGAAGAAGGATGTTCTGCTTCTCTGTGCAAAGCCCACGAGAAAAAACCTTGAAATCCTTTCCATTTAAGGTGGTCTTAAGTTGAAAACAGTGTAGTTGTGACGTAACTATCGAAAAGGTGTATTTAGTCATCATAAACAAGATAAAAGGGCTCTAAAATCGGTATCTCAGTCCGGAAAACGAGGCTCTCTAGCCAAGGCTACATAGTACTTTCCGGCAGAGTGTATTAATTTTAAAAAAGAACTGCTGAAGCCGGCATAATTACGCTAAATTATGATATATAGGTTGGATTATAGACATGCGCACATAAAGAAATTCGCAAAATAATCCATTGAACTATTTAGATGTTTTAATTCAAATAAACCATAGGTGGAATTGTGTTTATACGTTTACAAAATGTCGATGTTTATACTTCGACATCGAAAAAAATAAAACTAATTAAATTGCAAGTATTTACAACTATTAAAAATTCTTAAAATGGTCTGTTTCAAAACGCCTTTGTCATTTTTTAACACACTATTCTGTGGCTAGATATTCTGATGAAACCACACCAATGTACGTATTCAATAAGCAAAAATTTAGGCATTTGTTCAAATTGCTTCAGCTGTTTAATTTACAATTAAACAGCTAAAGCAAATATTTACATCTGAGTGAAATAATTTATAGATGTAAATATTACAGGGTTCGTAGTCTCCAAGACCAAAAATATTCAAAGACTTTCAAAGATTTTTTCTGCCTATTGTCAAGGACTTTTCAAAGACCTTTCAGAGCAATCAGCTGTCGAAAAATTGCGATGTACTGTATATAAGCACCATTTTTACCAAGTACTGTAATTAGTCCCGTCAAATCACATCCTAAAAATGCATTTTTTCGTCCATATTTGCGAAAATCATGCTTCGATCATCTATTTTATTAGCTAGGAAATCGTATAATCAAATACTCACTAAAGAATTTAAAGACTTTCTCCGCTTTTTCACACAATTCACTAATGACTTTTCAAAGCCTTAATGCCCTGCATTCAAATTTAAAGACTTTCAAGGATTTCAAAATTGGACCGCTACGAACCCTATATTACATAGAGGGAAATTTCGTCGCTGTCTCTTTTTAAAGATCATGTTAAGAACCTTTTATAAACTATTTAAAACACAAGCATGCAGGATTGCTTTATCAGATATAAAACACGAGGCCTGCAACAGCCGAGTGTCTTACTACTAGATAAAGCACAGACTGTGAGTGTTTAATTAATCCAATGGATTATTTAGTGAATTTCTTAATATAAATGCTAATTAAAATAATCCAATGGATTATTTAGCAAATTGTTTTATATAATGCTGGTTGAATACTTTAGGTTATTTTTAAAAGTATGTCAGAACCTGACTCCGCACAGTCCCTCGTTACATTTTAGTGCGGGAGAATATGCCCGTTCGCGGGTTAGGCGTTGACAGCCATCATCCAACGCAAGAGACTGGGGACGAGTCAGTATCAGAATTCTGATATGATTCTGATAACAGAATTCTTTATGATTTATGTTGCCGTGCCCCTCTAGCTCTGAAGCCATAATGAACAGTCTAAATACTGATGTGGGCATTTGCATCCGTTTGAAAAAAATGCAGTCGCTTCAGCTTCTAAAACGGAAATTATCCATTCAATCTAACAAAAATGTTTGATTTTTCTTTGAGTGCTTCAGATAGGGTGTGCATTTTTCTGTAGTGACGTAGTAAATTACAGCACACTGTCATATACAATATTTCAAACACTCCGATAGCTGTCAGAGGCGCACTGTATATGGTGCTTGGAATGTAAATGCCTCAAAAAGGCCACGGATAGACATGCGCGCATAACATAGATTCATTAAACATCTTTTTATAAAAATAATACTGGCGTCAGCGATTGAACTGTAATTATCTATTCGATCCAATTTTCCCTCCACCGGTAGTGATGATTTCTTTTGTTTGTGGCTCATGACAACGACTTTAGATATAAAATGCTTCAAAAAATGCCACAGCAAATCAAAAACGGGTGCCAGTTCTGCGAACCATATAGTTTTTGGTTAAAATTCTTGTGTATAGCTTTCTGTGAGCTTTCTATATTTCATATAGACAAGCGATCTTTATTAAATGGAGAAATACTTGGTTTTTATTCTATTGGCCATATTCCACACACGATGGGCGACACCTGTACTCGTCTGTGAATCAAATTCCGATTGTGATGAAGCCCGAGACCCGTATTGCTGTAAAAAGATAAAACAGTGTCGTTCGAATTGTGTTCTACAAAATTGCACTTCAAACACGGATTGTGGTTCACCAGGCGAGCGTTGTAAGCACGGGAAGTGCCTCCCGGTGTCGGCTCCGTCACGCACGAAGGATGATCGTAGCCCAGCTTTGGTTATAGTGTTCGTTGCAGTATGTCTATTCGTGTTCGTATGCATCATTGTGGCGCCCGTTTGTTGTTGCGTAAGATGCGCAGGGGGATTCTGTGATCGGCGCCTCGCCAGGGGAAACGTTGCTGCTGGTAGACACGCTGGGTGGAACTTTGGCGACGGCGGGGGTGGCGGCGGCGATGGTGGTGGCGGGGGTGGTGGCGGCGGGGGTGGTGACGGCGGCGGGGGTGGTGGCGGCGGTGGTGGTGACGGGGGGTGCTGAACAGAACCTTGATATATTATATATATAATTCCACATAATCCAATGGATAATTTAGCGAATTTCTTACATAGTGCTAAATATAATATAAAAACTCACAAACTCCACGACCTTCTCCTGGTTCCAAACAACACGTGTGACATTGATCTTATCAGAAGCAACTTGAGTAAATTTTGAAATAATAAATTTTCAGAAAACGTTGTCCTTTGCAACTCTAAGCGCGCAAACTTAATGGAAGCACTAGTTTCAAGCTTAGTAGTTGAATATTGCAGCTATTTGTGAATGAATTGTTCTCGTAAGGAGATATTTACCATGTCTCTAAGAAATGGGCCCAAAAGATGATTTCCAAACTGATGCTCCCATTATGCTTTGCACGCTTAGAGTTCAAGGTTTGCAAAGGACAACCTTTTTTGAATTAATTCTTGTAATTTAATTAGTTTTATTACTGTATAAGTATAAGCATCAACAATTAAATCAATTATTTAGTGAATTTCTTTCATGCAATGTTTCAAACACTCCGATAGCTGTTAGAGGCATCTATATATATATGGTGCTTGAGATATAAATGCCTACAAAAAGGCCACATGCGCGCTTAACATAGATTCATTAAACAGCGTCTTAAAATAATACTGGCGTCAGCATTAGTTTTCAAAGCTCCTCAGGGAGTAATAATTTATCAACTCAAAACGGTTGTTAAATTTTCGAGGAAACATGCTAGCTTTGTGGCTGTCGTTTTGTTTAGATTTTAGAATTTCATTACATCAACAACTCAAATACAAATTTCCCAAACATTTCTTTGATAATATTTCAAATGTAGTGGTATTGCAGATCTGCAAGCCTATACGTCCGGGTTTACAAAAACGTTGACTGCTTAATAATACACCCTTAAATTCCGGATTAGGCTTGGCTGTAGAGCCATGCACCTTTCGTAATTGAGATATTGGTTTTAAAGCCCTTTAAGATCTTGTTACAGATTACACGTGCAATTATATTAGATTGAAAACTGAAGAACTTTATATAATTACCAAATCCATTTTACCAATCCATTTTTTTAAATGGATATGGATTTAATTAAGTGAAAAATACATACACCGTTTCGATAATTACGTCACAACTACACTGTTTTCAACTTAGGACCACCTTAAATGGAAAGGATTTCAAGTTTTTTTCTCATGGGCTTTGCACAGAGAAGCGGATCATCCTTCTTCAACACATGCATGAAAAAGAAATCTTTATTTTGACCAATAAATGTGGAAATAAGCTTTAACACGAAAACGAGGCTCAGGTCACGACCAAAATTTTTTTTCATGCATGTGTTGAAGAAGGATGTTCTGCTTCTCTGTGCAAAGCCCATGTGAAAAAAAACTTGAAATCCTTTCCATTTAAGGTGGTCCTAAGTTGAAAACAGTGTAGTTGTGACGTAACTATCGAAAAGGTGTATTTAGTCATCATAAACAAGATAAAAGGGCTCTAAAATCGATATCTCAGTCCGGAAAACGAGCCTAGCCAAGGCTACACGCAAATACCTCCTGGCAGGGTGTATTAATTTGAAAAAAGAACTGCTGAAGCCGGCATAATTACGCTAAATTATGATATATAGGTTGGATTAGACATGCGCACATAAAGAATTTCGCAAAATAATCCATTGAACTATTTAGATGTTTTAATTCAAATAAACCATAGGTGGAATTGTGTTTATACGTTTACAAAATGTCGATGTTTATACTTATAAAAATAAAACTAATTAAATTGCAAGTATTTACAACTAAAATTCTTAAAATGGTCTGTTTCAAAACACCTTTGTCATTTTTTAACACACTATTCTGTGTCTAGATATTCTGATGAAACCACACCAATGTACGTATCATGCAATAAGCAAAAATTTAGGCATTTATTCAAATTGCTTCAGCTGTTTAATTTACTGATTAAACAGCTAAAGCAAATATTTACATCTGAGTGGAATAGTTTATAGATGTAAATATTATATATAGGAAATCATGTTAAGAACCTTTTATAAACTATTTAAAGGAGATCTTTTTGTATGTTACGTAACACGCGCTCAAAACTAATGTGTATAATATATCGCTTGAGGTTATGACTAAATTCAATTTTTTTATTTTTCGATACGTTTCTCAATCGGCCAACAAATTTATCTGTAAAATAATGCTAAAATGAAGAGATGTTAGATGATACGCCAAATTTTTTTGCTTATATGACCGTAAATATGCAAAGATTTTGCTTATATGACCGTAAATATGGCGTCAATTTTAAAGCATCATTGATAATTGTATTTTAATTGACAATTTTTGACTATTATTTTATGTTTCTCAATCGGCAGATGCATTTAAAAAGGTAGCTAACTCTATAAACTAGAGAATCAAGCTAAAACAAAGTAATTTTGAGAGGAACGCCAAAAAGATTTTAGGTTTTGAACACTTTTCATTGCAAATACGTGACATTGAAAAAAATTGCCTCTTAAAACACAAGCATGCAGGATTGCTTTAGGGGCGACATCCATACTCACATTGGCACGCAAAACGTCATTTTGACGTTTTCGTTTTGACCCACCCACCCAGTGCTGAAAACGTCAAGTGTATATTGTTATTAAAACTATAAAAGGGAGACCTCAAAGGTGTTACCAGTGAGTAATAATGTTTCAAATCAATGCTCATGTAGTTTTAAATAATGATATAAATTAATACCTGTATTAAATATTTTTCGTATTTTCGCGAAAACTGATAACGTGTTTAAAGCCTTTGGTACAGTGAAATACACAAATTCTTCAAGTTAACTTCTACATACACATCCAAAATCATTTCTGCACATGTGTTCAATATTTTCTGATTTAAAAATTTCAAACTGCCACGCAAAACGTCAAACTGATTCTTGAAAACCCACCCACCCACTCAAAACGTCAAAATGACGTTTTGCGTGGCAATTTGACTATGGATGTCGCCCCTTATCAGATACAAAACACGACTAGGCAACAGCCGAGTGTCTTACTACTAGATAAAGCACGGACTGTGAGTGTTTAATTAATCCAATGGATTATTTAGCGAATTTCTTAATATAATGCTAATTAAAATAATCCAATGGATTATTTAGCAAATTTTTTTTATATAATGCTGGTTGAATACTTTAGGTTATTTTTAAAAGCATGTCAGAACACGACTCTTCCACAGTCCCTCGTTACATTTTAGTGCGGGAGAATATGCCCGTTCGCGGGTTAGGCGTTGACAGCCATCATCCAACGCAAGAGACAGGGGACGAGTCAGTATTAGAATTCTGGTATGATTCTGATATCAGAATTCTTTATGATTTATGTTGCCGTGCCACTCTAGCTCTGAAGCCATAATGAACGGTCTAAATAATGTGGGCATTTGCATCCGTTTGGAAAAATTGCAGTCGCTTCAGCTTCTAAAACGGAAATTATCCATTCAATCTAACAAAGATGTTTGATTTTTCTTTGAGTGCTTCAGATAGGGTGTGCATTTTTCTGTAGTGACGCGGTAAATTGCAGCACACTGTCATGCAATGTTTCAAACACTCCGATAGCTGTCAGATATAAAATGCTTCAAAAAATGCCACAGCAAATCAAAAACGGGTGCCAGTCCTTCGAACCATATTGTTGTTGGTTTGGTTAAAATTCTTGACATCTTGTGTATAGCTTTCTACTGATTTCATATAGACAAGCAAACTTTAATGGAGAAATACTTGGTTTTTATTCTATTGGCGATATTACACACACAGTGGGCGACACCTGTGCTCGGCTGTGAATCAAATTCCGACTGTGATGAGAGTAGCTCCGTTGTATTCATAGTGGTCGTTGCAGTAGGTCTAGGCATGTTCATATGCATCTTTGTGGCGCCCATACTTTGCGTAAAATGCACAGGGAGATCTATATTCTGTGATTACTGCCACGCTGGGGGAAACGTTGCTGTTGGTGGACACGCTGGGGGGAACTTTGGCGGGGGCGGCTATGTTGGCGGCGGCGGCGATGGTGGCGGGGGGTGCTGAACAGAACCTTGGTATATATAATTCCAAATAATCCAATGGATAATTTAGCGAATTTCTTACATAATGCTAAATATAATATGAAAATCATAAACTCCACGAACTTCTCCCGGTGCGAAACAACACGTGTGACATTGATCTTATAGGAAGAAACTTAAGTAAATTTTGAAATAGTAAATTTTCAGGAAACGTTGTCCTTTGCAACTCTAAGCGCGCAAACTTAATGGAAGCACTAAGTTTCAAGCTTAGTGTAGTTGAATATTGCAGCTATTTGTGAATGAATTGTTCTCGTAAGGAGATATTTACCATGTCTCTAAGAAATGGGCCCCATATATGATTTCTAAACTGATGCTCCCATTATGCTTTGCACGCTTAGAGTTTAAGTTTTGCAAAGGACAACCTTTTTTTTATTAGACCTTTCCCCTTATAACCAAAATTTTGATCTAGGCAAGTCTAGACAAATATTTCATCACAGCTTGAAAGAGCATCACAAAATTAGTAATATTCCAAAGTTTCGTTGCGAAATGTTGTAAAATGCGGATAATATAGCCTTGCGAAATTTGCAATTTTCAGTCATTTTAGATTACAAACGGGAAATTGCAGCCCCAACACCCGAATCGTATGTCAATTTCCCGTTTGTAATACAAAATGACTGAAAAACGGCAAACTTCGCAAGGCTATATTATCCGCATTTTAGAAGATTTTGCAACAAAACTTTGGAATATTACTAATTTTGTGATGCTCTTTCAAGCTGTGATGAAATTTTTGTCTAGATCGAAATTTTAGTTATAAGGGGAAAGGTCCATTAAGTCAATTATTTAGTGAATTTCTTTCATGCAATGTTTCAAACACTCCGATAGCTGTTAGAGGCATCTGTATATATGCTGCTTGAGATATAAATGCCGTACAAAAAGGCCACGGATAGACATGCGCGCTTAACATAGATTCATTAAACAGCGTTTTAAAATAATACTGGCGTCAGCAATATTTTTTAAAGCTCCTCAGGGAGAAATAATTTTATCAACTCGAAACGGTTGTTGAATTTTCTAGGAAACATGCTAGCTTTGTGGCTGTCGTTTTGTTTAGATTTTAGAATTTCATCACATCATCGTGGAAACAAACGCTCTTTTAACTGCTGAAGCCATAATTATAAAGCCTTTGTTTATAGGACCAAATTATTTATGCATTGCTATGGTTTCTATTTGAAAGAATCACTATTTCCAGAGAAAATCGACGCGAAAGTTCTCAATGACGTAATTTCCCCTAGTGATGACTCCCTTTGTTTGTGGTTCATGACAACGACTTGAGACATATAATGCTTCAAAAAATGCCACAGCAAATCAAAAACGGATGCTAAACGGGTTGGAAAGAAGATATTGTGTAGACATTGGTGACGTATTTAGATAAAGTTATAAAGAAGATAGCTCTCAATGGCTACACGTTTCCCGTTTTTACTCCTATCAATTTTATTCTTCATTGAGCGCATGACTGCATCGCTCGGCTGTGAAACGAATTCTGATTGTGATGAAGCCAATGGCCTATATTGTTGCAGGCAGATAAAGAAATGTCGTTCGAGTTGTGATCGAGAAGTTTGTAGCTCAAATGAAGATTGTGGCTCAGCGGATCTATGTTGTTCGAGTAACAAAGATTGCGTGGCAAATAAAGCATCATGTTCGAGTTCAAAAGCCACTCTTAGCACAAAGCAAGTTCTCATCTTTGTGGTCGCCCCTGTTGGTGTCATATGCGTCATTGTCGCCATCGTGTGTTGGGCCGCATGCGCAGGAAAGACTATAGAGAGTTCTGGAGGCAATGTCAGTGGATACAGACATGACGGGAGGCGCTTACGACGTACCCGATGGCAATGGAACAACGGAAGGGGAGGCGGCGGCGGTGGGGGAGGCGGTGGAGGGGCATGCGGAGGAGGCGGTGGGGGATGTTGAAAAACACTTTCGTTTAACACACTGATCTCCAAACTAAGGCTGGAATGCGCATCTGGATAAATAAAATATTCATCATGAGGCGGCCATATTGAAGAGACCTCAAAAACGTGACCTGTCTACATAGAAAACCAGGTTTTATGTTTTTCTTTTGCAATAATTGTTGCGTAAAATGCGCAGAGGGATTCTGTGATCACCACGCTGGGGGAAACGTTGTTGCTGGTGGATACGCTGGGGAGAGGGAGAGGGAAGAGCCTGGGAACGAGGTTGAGGGGGACTTTGGCGGCGACGGGGGTGCTGAGCAGAACCTTGGTATATATATAATTCCAAATAATCCAATGGATAATTTAGAGAATTTCTTATATAATGCTAAATATAATATGAAAATCATAAACTCCACGACCTTCTCCCGGTTTGAAACAACACGTGTGACATTGATCTTATAGGAAGAAACATAATTTTAATGCAAATTTTCAAACAGGCCGTTTTAAGAATAGCTTTTCTATATTTAATTAATTTCAAACTCTTAGTTGTAATTTAATTAATTTTATTATTGTACTTGATGATGTATACAAACATCAACAATTATTTATCGTATTTCTTTATATAATGCTAAATAATCCAATGACATTGTACAGTTTATATACAGTTGAATACTTTATTTTTAAAAGCACAGTCACAATATCCGGTACACATTTTTAATGTGATTTTAATGATTATCAGTCTTGCCAAAAACGTAACCTGTCTACATTCAAAAAGAACTTCTTAATGTCAAATGACTCTGTCTCTGAAACCATAATGGTCTGAATTAATATGTAGACATTTACATCCGTTTGACGAAAAATTGCACTTGCTGCTTCAGTTTCTAGAACTGTAATTATTCATTCAATCTAACAAAAGACGTTTGATTTTTTTGAGCGCTTCAGATAGGGTGTGCATTTTTCTGTAGTTACGCGATAAATTACAGCACGCTTTCATGCAATTTATTTATAATTATATTTATCCAGGATACCCACATCACTAATGTGTTTTTCAGTGGGGTCCTGCATGATACAATCATTAACAAAATTTACTTATATAAATATATACAATTAATATACAACGTCACGACATAAAGAAACGAATAATTAACTATATCTAATAAGTACAGCTAAGAATAGTTATATGGTATGTGACCTTATAGTAAAGACTTAAATTGACTCAGAGAATCAGTGTTTCTGACGGAAACGTCCAAGTTGTTAAAGTCTTTCGAAGCGAGGTAGGTTGGTTTATGTTTGCCCCAGTTCGTGTTGACTTTCGGGAGATGGAGGTTGTTACACGATCTTGTACTTGCAATGTTTCAAACACATCTGTATTATGGTGCTTGAAATATAAATGCCTGCAAAAAGGCCAAGGATAAACATGCGCGCATAACATAGATTAACTGAACAGCTCTTTAAAATAATGGTGGAGTCAGCAATACTTTTCAAACCTAAAGTCTAAAACTCCCTAACTCAGGGAGAAATAATTTTATCAACTCAAAACGGTTGTTGAACACTCTACTGTCTAGGAAACATGCTAGCTTTGTGGCTGTCGTATAGTTTAGATTTTAGAATTTCATTACATCATCGTGGAAACAAACGATCTTTTAACTGCCGAAGCCATAATTATAAAGCCTTTGTTTATAGGACGAAATTATTTATGCATTGCTATGGTTTCATCAGAGCGTAGGTATCTATTTGAAAAAAAGAGACACTATTTCCAGAGAAAATCGACACGAAAGTTCTCAATTATGTAACTTTCCCTAGAAATGATTTCCTTTGTTTGTGGTTCATGACAACGACTCGAGATATAAAATGCTTCAAAAAATGCCAGAGCGAATCAAAAACGGGTGCTAAACGGGTTGGAAAGAAGATAGTGTATACGTTGGTGACATATTTACATAAAGTTATAAAGAAGATAGGTCTCAATGGCTAAACGTTTCGCGTTTGTACTTTTATCACTTGTATTCTTCACTGAGCGCATGACTGCATCGCTCGACTGTGAAACGAATTCTGATTGTGACGAAGCCAATGGCCTATATTGTTGCAGACAGATAAAGAAATGTCGTTCGAGTTGTGATCGAGAAGTTTGTAGCTCAAACGAAGATTGTGGCTCAGCAGATCTGTGTTGTTCGAGTAACAAAGATTGCGTGGCAAATAAAACATCATGTTCGAGTTCAAAAGCCATTCTTAGCACAAAGTATGTTTTCATCATTGTGATCGCCGCTCTTGGTTGTGTATGCGTCATTGTTGCCATGGTGTGTTCGGCCGCATGCGCACGAAAGACAATAGAGAGTTCTGGAGGCAACGTCAGTGGATACATCAATGAAGCCATGGAAGAGGAGGTGGTGGCAGGGGGGAAGGCGGCGGGGAGGGAGGCAGCGGGGAGGGAGGCGGCGGGGGAAGAGTTGACGGTGGAGGACGTTTAAAAACACCTTCGTTTAACCCACTGATCTCCAAACTAAGGCTGGAATGCGTATCTGGGTAAATAAGATATTTTTCACGAAGCGGCCATGTTGAAGAGACCTCAAAAACGTGACCTGTTTTAGGAATGCTGTGATTTACTGCAATTTTAGGAATGCTGTGATTTACTGCATAATTATACACCCTATCTGAGACACTCAAAGAAATATCAAACACTCTTTGTTAGAGTGAATGAATAGTTACAGTTCTACAAGCTGAAGCGAGGGCAATCGTTCGTCAAACGGATGTAAATGCCCACATAATGCAGACTGTTCATTATGGCTTCAGAGTCATTACGGCCCGTTTATACTTGCAATTTTTCGCCGCCATTTCTAGTGCGATTTCTCCTTCTGATGCATGTGAACGAGTGATGAATGTTCTGAGACTCCGAGTATATGTGGAAGAGATTATTTCGCTGGCCTCAGAGTGACAAAACGTAACAAAGCAACGGTTTTACTAACACTAACACTAACCCTACTCCAAACACTAACTCTAACCCTAATCCTTACCCTAAACCTACTCCAAATTTGTTTCTAAACCAATCTTGAAGAAAAAAGTTTTGACGAAATGTCATTCTGAGCTGGTCAGCGAAATAGTTGATGCCAGTATATGTACCTTCATCTGAACATTCATAACTTGATGCTTGTGATGTTACTCTGAGTGTATATCCACACCGGGCAAGCTTGAAACATATGCCTGGCCACGGTGGGAATCGAACCTAAGACCTTTGGAATACTAGCCCAATGCTCTGCCAACTGAGCTACGCGGTCAGGTCGGTTCGAGTATGTGATATTTCGGAACAGAGTCTAGTTCCTTCGATATCATTGTAATCTAGTAATAATGATTTTTTCTGTGTTGGTGTAGTGTACTCAGGTGAGTATGATGCTTGTGATGTTACTCTGAGTGTATATCCACACCGGGAAAGCTTGAAAAATATGCCTGGCCACGGTGGGAATCGAACCACCGACCTGACCGTGTAGCTCAGTTGGCAGAGCATTGGGCTAGTATTCCAAAGGTCGTAGGTTCGATTCCCACCGTGGCCAGGCATATTTTTCAAGCTTGCCCGGTGTGGATATACACTCAGAGTAACATCACAAGCATCATATTCACCTGAGTACACTACACCAACACAGAAAAATCATGATTATTAGATTACATTGATATCGAAGGAACT